GGATCCAGGTGATGATCCAGTTGCCCCGGATCCAGGTGAAGTTTCTGTGGCACCTGATGCAGGTGATGTTCCTGTAGCACCTGACGCAGGTGATGTTCCAGTTGCNCCTGACGCAGGTGATGATGCAGTTGCNCCGGACGCAGGTGATGATCCAGTTGCCCCTGACGCAGGTGATGATCCAGTTGCCCCTGACGCGGGTGATGATCCAGTTGCCCCTGACGCAGGTGATGATCCAGTTGCCCCTGACGTAGGTGATGATCCAGTTGCCCCTGACGCAGGTGATGATCCAGTTGCCCCTGACGCAGGTGATGATCCAGTTGCCCCTGACGCAGGTGATGATTCAGTTGCCCCTGACGCAGGTGATGATCCAGTTGCCCCTGACGCAGGCGATGTTCCAGTTGCCCCTGACACAGGTGATGATTCAGTTGCCCCTGATGCAGGTGATGATCCAGTTGCCCCTGACGCAGGTGATGATCCAGTTGCCCCTGACGCAGGTGATGATCCAGTTGCCCCTGACGCAGGTGATGATCCAGTTGCCCCTGACGGAGGTGATGTTCCCGTAGCACCTGACGCAGGTGATGATCCAGTTGCCCCTGACGCAGGTGATGATCCAGTTGCCCCTGACGCAGGTGATGATCCAGTTGCCCCTGACGCAGGCGATGTTCCAGTTGCACCTGACGCAGGTGATGATCCAGTTGCCCCTGACGCAGGTGATGATCCAGTTGCCCCTGACGCAGGTGATGATCCAGTTGCCCCTGACGCAGGTGATGATTCAGTTGCCCCTGACGCAGGTGATGATCCAGTTGCCCCTGACGCAGGTGATGTTCCAGTTGCCCCTGACACAGGTGATGATTCAGTTGCCCCTGATGCAGGTGATGATCCAGTTGCCCCTGACGCAGGTGATGATCCAGTTGCCCCTGACGCAGGTGATGATCCAGTTGCCCCTGACGCAGGTGATGATCCAGTTGCCCCTGACGGAGGTGATGTTCCCGTAGCACCTGACGCAGGTGATGATCCAGTTGCCCCTGACGCAGGTGATGATCCAGTTGCCCCTGACGCAGGCGATGTTCCAGTTGCACCTGACGCAGGTGATGATCCAGTTGCCCCTGACGCAGGTGATGATCCAGTTGCCCCTGACGCAGGTGATGATCCAGTTGCCCCTGACGCAGGTGATGATTCAGTTGCCCCTGATGCAGGTGATGATCCAGTTGCCCCTGACGCAGGTGATGATCCAGTTGCCCCTGACGCAGGTGATGATCCAGTTGCCCCTGACGGAGGTGATGTTCCCGTAGCACCTGACGCAGGCGATGTTCCTGTGGCTCCTGATGCCGGCGTAGTTCCTGTGGCCCCTGACGCAGGCGATGTTCCTGTTACACCGGATGGTGGTGACCCTGTTCCACTGGACACCTGTAAAGAGCCTGTGGCCCCTGACGGTTGTGATGATCCCCCAAATGAAAAAGTGAATCTATTGGTGTTAGTGGCGCCAGACGCTAGAGATCCAGTGACAAAAAATCTGTTTGTGTTGGAAATTATTGTCGTTTCCCCTGATATAGCCTGAATCTCCACGGCATTGGCTACGATCGGTCTGCATGTACCGCAACATATTTTATCTCGGATGGTTGGTGTCTGACAAGAGCTGAATGAACATACTGCATCTGGATCATCCCCGGCGGGACAATCAACTGTAAATGTAAAAAAACAAGGGCATTCGTACGGTAATGTGTAAGCTGTGGATATATTGGTCCTAATATTAGCGATTGAAGTTTAAGTGTTAGATATTGAGAAAAACTGAGGATGGGTAGATATAAGCTTTGCTTGAATTCCTACTGTTTTGTATTATGGAAAACTAAACAAGACAACATTAATATATTAAGTGTTCAATGAGGGAAACTTTGTCTGAATTAAGAGAATGGTGAACATAGTCTACCTGGAGTAGCTGGAGCTGAGGGCGACTTCGTACAGACACCAGACTTGCATTCCTTAAATGAAAAATTATTGTTTGAACAAATCGCAATGTTGTTGTAATGGAATTATTCTGCACAGTCGAATATTAAAGGCGTGTATCGGCGGCTCAACTAGTATAGAGATTGATTGAATCAAGCCCATGAGTCCTCATCTCTAAGAGGGCCCCAATCCCCAGAGAAATATGCAGGAAAGCATATATTGAATGAACTATTGCCTGGGAAGGGGCCCAAGACCGATATGATATCTGTGATTGGTGGTGAAGGTAACTGTATTTTTAGTCATTACTCGATTACTTTACCTCATGTTGAGTGATCCCAATGGACTCTTACCTTTGTATTGCCACAAATTGTACCATCATGTGCAAGAATCGGTACACAGCTTGTAGAATTCGATGGATTGGAGCACATAAGCATATGGCACATATCATCATACGTTAGTCCATTTTGGGGAGTGTAAAAGGTCTGAAAGAAGAGATGCATCAAAATCAGCTTCAGGAAAATGTATAAGTGTCCATCATAGAGGAACTTGATAAACATGGGAAGATCTGACAATACTCTAAAAACATTATGCTACTCCAATGTGATGGTCTGGTGCCATGCTTGTCGTGGTTTAACTGTGAACGATCTGGCTATTTACAAAGAATTTTATTTAGTGGCATCTTGAAACTGATGTCTGATTATGTTTACTTACCCTGCAGAACTTGGATCCTTTCCCCAAAGCTATCTCACACTGTACATCCACTGGATATTTTCTGCCAAAAGGTTGCTTAGTGAATGGTGTGATATCTATAGGCTGAGTGTCCAGAGTCTGGGTACAGTCTCCAGTCAAACTGAAACAATCAATTAGAAAGTGGAATTTAGCTACGTTTTCCGTAAAGGGCAGGTGAACTGTTTGCTTTGCTCATTGGTGAGGCGGTAACTAAACCATTGAAGGGAAAGAATCGGACGAGTTAAAAAGAGTTACTTACTTAGCCAGGTATTTGTTGATGCCGGTGGCAGAACAGGGTGAGAAGATCCAGGGATGGGAAGCTCTAGCTCGATCTGGTATACCAACACTAGAGGACATGATGTTGAAGTTGGATGAGGGACAGTTGTTACCATTCTCCCCATCGTGGTACGAGCCAAGACTATAAATAGATATATTTGGTTAACATAGAAAATGAAACGGAGTTTTGCATTGTATTGTTGTATATTTAAAGTTGATGGGTCACCCTTTGGTGGTTAATTGGTTACTCTTTGGGTGGTTAATTGGTTACCCTTTGAAAGTAGTATAAACCGACGAAAAATTATCAGAAAAGCCATACCTGTGTGCTAACTCATGAGTAGCAATGGTAGCGAACATTTCCCCACTTGTAAATTCTGCAATAGATGCTGATCGCAGAGAACAGGTGCTCCCCATTTCTGCTAGACCTAAGAAGAGAAATTATCCACAGTTAGACGAGTCAGTCAAATGAAGCGGACCTAATTGATCAAATAGCCAAACCAATCGACTTAGATGGGGTTGCGTAGAGAAAACCAGAGGAAAATGATAAGCAAGAGGGTTTATAGCTAGCTGGTACACGTTGGCTGGTAGAGAGGATCATGGAACATATTAAGAGTAAATCTCCATACTTACCTGCATTCGATGACTTTCCGCCTTGGGCGATGTCATATCTGAAATCAAAATCACAGAGGTTGTTAGAATCATTTGGTTTGTGGATGGATTACCTATTTTCTGTTACTGCGATCGAATCAGAGGGCCACACCACGCAAACAACATAATTGAAGCAGCAACAACACACTGTGCTTTAGAGTCTCAGTCAGCTTCTGTAACGCATTTAGATCGTAAGCGTCCACTACGATCTGTGACCTACGGCTATACTGATTTCCATTGATGAATCGTTCTGACAATTGATCTTACCGTGTTACTAGCATAACATGGTCAAACGCGTGAAGTTCCTTCCGGTTAACCACAAAAGTAATGATGTTGGTCAACGCTGCATCTGAATCTACTAGTCCATCTTTAAGAGCATCTTCCGTCCATTTTGAAGTAACTCTTGACTGAAACACAAGAGTAAGGCAAAATGAATGATCCTGAATAACTATCTCCAAAAACACCCAGACACGTAGCCAATGCCCCTCCTGATATATTACTTATGGTACTTGGCGGGAAGCGTATTAAATTTGCCTTACCTCGGCTATGATTATCTTAGACAACAAAACCTCGACATCAACATTATACTGTTGTAGAGTAGTAAACCTACTGTTCATCTGAAATATAACACGAAGATATTACCAGCTGTTCAACACATTACTTTAAGGGGTTTGTAAAGAGGTTTTTCTAAACTTTTGTGTGTATCAGGGGACACTGAGAGCATCTATTTGCATTATTCAGTCAGATGTTTGTGGTTCCTGGGTCTTTCAATTCCAATTAAACTAAGCGTTTTATGACATCACTATCACAGGCGATACTATTAAACTTACTATTGCATACAATTATATATAAGTGAGTACTTACAGCCTTGACGATATTGGCGAAGTAGTCCATAATCTCACGCTTGGTGCTGATGGAATCATTGTTTCGCTGTCTCCAACTGAAATGGGTGTAGTAGATGAATTGAACAGGATCTGTTATTCTAGCTACAGCAGTTTTGCCTCAATGCATTGTGCATGGCGTTGCTCGTCTTCATTAGTCCAAGCAAGTCAGAGAAGTGGGACCCTTTCCATTTTTTGTCGGAATCGGATTGAAAAAGGTACATAAAACTTACAAATTGTAGAGCTCAAAATCTATCACCATTAGAAGCTCGACGAAATGCTTCTCGACACCATTGGTTTGTCGGCGTCTTCTATAAGTCTTCTTCTGTACTTTAGTCAGCTTCTCTTTCAAATGATCTGTTCGGGATTAGAGGTAATCATTAGTTGCTATATTCATTTATGGAGTTCCTCATGAGCCCAACCAGGAGTAGAACAGTAGCAATTCAAATTTACGAACTGAAACTTTTGAGAGAGCTGTATACATGAGTCTGGGCCAATGTAGTCCAGATTTAAGCGATATCTGATGGATCTCTATGTAAAACACCAGTTAATCACCTAAAGACTATTTCTGTTAGAAGAACAGGAGATGAGACACATTGGACCACGTTTTAAATGTTTCTATATGCAGGACATATTAAAAACTTATTTTCTAATGGTAATACTTTAAGCTGCCCAAAGATAACAACGGACCTTACCTGGTATGCTATACTTGTCCTCAACACCATGAATCTGTTTAACCAGATTTTTCATGTCTAAGCTGGATTGGACGAAAGGTTCTAGATTGTCTTCAGGGGCAACTTTGTCGCGATTTTGAAACACCGCTCGTACTTTGGATGTACCATCTTGGTGCTGCAATATGAAAAGTGGTTAATTTTGGACAGAGGAAAGGTTACAGCCAGCAGGTTATAGTGGAGGAAAGATCGTTTCCCAATTTGAAGGAGTTTTTGAAAACAAAGCATACGCCGTAAAGTCATGCAATTTAAACCAATAAAGGACCATGGATTCATTGAGTAAGGACGATCTTTTTTTGGATGTAAGCGGAAGTGGTTATAAGATTTACTTACTGTTATGGATTCTGAGCGATATTTTCCATTTTCTTTCAAAACAACGATGTGTGCATTGGCTTTGTTCTCTGAAATGAAGACATTTAAAAAAACATTTATGCTAAGCGTAAAATTTGTATATCATGGTCAATTTAGGCGTAATTATTGTGGTATTCAATGATCGTTCCGTTTCAGTCCAAAACAGCAGAATCTTAAGCACCTCCTCGTTCAATACGTTGCCGAATAAAGGGATATCAACTGTAACTTCATGGCAACAAATCAATAATGATCATGCAAATCAAAGCAAAATAATTTTTCAGAAAACCTCACTCACCATTTGTATCATCAGCATTTACCAAGTCAAATTTCCATAAAGACAAAACCGTGAAAAAAACAAGAAAAGCACTTCTCATAATTTTCACCAAAAGTTCATTATAAATTCAACGAAAATTTAAAAAATTTGTCAGCAATCAACTAGCAAGCTCTGACTCTAAAATCATCCGACCATAACCCTGGCAAATATACTCGGCCGCTAAATCCTTAAAACCAGCATGCCGCAATAGGGGATTAGTGAACTGCGGGTGCTAATCCAAGTTGATTAACCCTCACAGTGGATCGTATCGAAACGTTGTGGTCGCACATATACCCCACAGAGAACGATTTGTTCGATTAATACGGCGCTTTATCCTTCACGACATGCGTTCATCAATTCGGATCGACGTTGTGTATCGCAGTATTAGAACTTTAAGAGTGTCGCGAACACAATACAACCAAAGGCATGCGTCTCTTGGTTTTGATTGCAGTTATTTACAACTCTTTAGAAATTTCCACAATAGATGCCGGTAAGTGATACCTTTGAAGAATTAAAATCGATGACAATTTCAGGATTTTGAAAACGATGCTACATATAGTTTAGAATTAAAATTGTCGTGTATACCACGACTTGTAAAAAGTGACCTATTTATCTTATGAAGCTGTTAAAGTGTAGAACCTTACTTCATCTTGCTTATCCATTTTCAGTACCAGTTTATGTCCTACAGAAGGGTGGTGGAGCTGTTTTAGAAAATGTACCTCTAAATTCAATGGTAAGATTTTGCATATTCCCATAACGATGAAACTTACATTGAAGAAGTCACTGTTCGGGGGAAGCATACAAGACCATATTGTCAAATTGTTGCGGTAAAAAGCCGAAGCAATTCAAAGCTTTTAAAAAAAGACCTGACCTTTTCCGTCATGTGTACCACAACGTCTGACTCTTTTCCAAGCATAAGTCATGTTTAATTTGCAGGACAGTTCCAGCGAAAGACTGGCGAAGTATAAAGAATCGAGAAAAAGATTAAGACCAGAAGATGTAGGAGTAGCTGATAAAGATCCCACTGCTGCCGTCAACATCAAAGGAGCGTTCCCTTTAACTTGTGGTGATGTTGAAATCCATGGTAAATCTTGCGTCTGTTGAGGATGCTTTTTTTGATCCTAAGTTTGACAGCTTGGCTTCCAAATTGGAGCGTTTGCTTATAATCTCAAATGGCATAACATTGTTAACATAAGAGTGAAGCAGGGACCATAGATCGAAATAAACATTTTGTATTGTTTTCAATTTTCTGTTACAGATAACAGACCAGAAAAACATAGCCACAGACGACGAAGACGTCAAGCTGTTGGGAACCATCTGGTAGAGTTCCTGCTTTTTCTGGACCACGAGATTTTCAAATTGTAAGTTGCTTATGTAATTTATAACCATTCCGCTGTCGTATGAAGATACTACCTGGACCATATCAACTACTTTTCTGATCGATTTTGATGATTCTTCAATACATTTAATGGCTCAACGTCTGTTCATTTCATCAAAGCAAATTCGTCGAGTTACCAAATTAGTCTTGGATACGTAATGCATTGATGATTTTGTTCCTTTTTACTTCAGTTGGCTAGGACGAAATGGTGGTAACTCAACAGCAACTAAAGCCGAGATCTCCGATTACTATGCTAATATCATCAATAACGTAAGTCGTTCTCTTTCCAATGGGTTTGGGTTGTAAAGCCTTTCCCCACAATTTAATGGATTCATACATTTTTTTAAATTTTAATTTTATTTATTAATTAATTTGTTTATTTTCTTTTTAGATTAACCGACGCTATCTGACAGCTATAAGGCCGGGGTTTACCATACAGCTCGTCCTCGCTGGACTCTTCATTGCTGAGGTACGGTACTTAATTTTTGGGACGTAAAACTCCACCCATTTGATATTCTGAGCATAATATTGAGCATTCCAAATGTGTTTCATCAGTCCATCAATACCTAACATTTCTACAATATATCAATGAGATTTATAAGATACACCTATATTCCTTTCATTTCTTTTCTTTTCAGACTCCCGGTACTTCGCCATGGACAGAGAACATAGCATCGAATGGTAGAGCGGACGCCGATCAGGCCCTGACATCATTTAGAGACTATGTTGCTGGTAATAGAGGGACCCTTCCAGCTCATGATCACGCTCAGCTCGTCTCGGGGTAGGTGATGTTGGCATGAGCTATAATAAAGTTTTCATCCGGTGCTGTTGATCTGAAAATTGTATCCGAAGCACTTTCTAACTGCATGAGGGCTGAATATTGCCCATTTGCGTATTCGTATTTACTGTCGGCGAAGACCCCATTTCACATTCAGCCAGTGATTCCATTGGTATTTGTCAATTGAAGTCTTAGTCGTTCTTTTTGTTTTGCTTTCAGATATGACCTTACTCGTGGAGGAAGCACAGCCAACGCAGGTAAGTTAATCCACCCTTTCTATTCCCCACAAGTTCACCAAAGTTGATCCTACCACACTCATTATTTGATGCTTATCACAATTGGTTTCATTTTAGGTTTGGCGTTCACTCCGAGTATTTGTACCAGAAACGCTGTATCCGTAGTAGAAGAGACCAGAAGTCAAGCTCTTGCCACTGTAATGGCTCATGAACTAGCTCATAGGTAAGTGGTATCTAGGGTCTCTTGAGATGCCCAAGGTAGCTGCTTGGTAGCTACCAATTCTGTAACCATCACCATTTTTTCTTTTTTGAATCTGCCTGCATGTCGCCCTCACTGATTAGTTATTTGTTTATTTCAGTCTCGGATCATTCCACGATGGAGATCGGAACACCTGTTCTTCAGCCGATAGCTTCATTATGGATTCTGGACTGGGAATACCATCCAGGGAGAACAGAAACCATCCCTGGATCTTTTCAACCTGTTCTGTGGATATGATTAGAAGCAATCTTGTCAGGTGTGTACACCTAGTATATTTCTTTGAATTTCCCTTATTGCGTACTGCATGGCGTAGTCCAATTTCATCAGATCGATGACTAGCAGAAAAATATGACGTGAAACTATTTGATTTAATTTCTTTCAGATTGTTCCCGATTTGTACCTTACAGCTGCAGGGAACACCAATCCCTATTGACTCCTTCCTCACCGAGGAACTTGGTCAGAAGTACCCTGGTGACGTCCAGTGTGAAATATTCCTGGGTACTGGTTCCAAGGTCTGCAGGGTAGGTAGACTCCTTAATGGTCTAAGTTAGCTGGAAACTCAGTTTTGAGCCGCTTTGGACTTTTCCGGTCTTTGAATGTGCTCCATCTTCAATGGAACTGACTGTACAGGTGCTGGTCGATCTAATATGTGTGTATCTGTTTCACAGGACCAATATACAAATGGAGCACAACTAACGTATGACGATGTTTGCTATGAACTGAGTTGCCTTGATAGAAGAAGCGGGCGATGTTTCTCTACTTATGCTCATGATGGTACGTCCTGTGGAAATCAAAAGGTATGTACACGTAATTATGTCTCTTTGTGCTCGGACATCGATTCAATGGGTCTCATATAAAATATAATTTCAACGTAAAAAAAAATATAAAAGGAATAAAGCAATTCCTCGGACGAATGAATTTGTCTACATTTACGAGCTAAGTCGAATGGTGAGCCCAAAGTGTAAAACTGCTCTTTTTGCTTTTAGTGGTGCATTTCCGGATTGTGTATCGCAACAGACCTGGCTCCTGTTACGGCAGGTAAGATTTCTTTCCCTATCAGTGATGTCGTTTGCATAGGACAATTAACAGATGTCCCCTATGATAAACTCAGGGATCCACTCCAACGTCCACAGTAGTCAGTTGCTACGCAGTTCTTATTCTGGTCAAAATACAACCCCTATATATATATATAGTAGTTCTTGAACTTAACGATCAAATTTCCTTTCTTTGTCCACAGAAAATTGTCCATTCGGGGATGATCCTGACCAAACATGCACCCAACTATCCTGTTTGAATCCACAGTTACGAGATGTTGGGTGCTGTTTTACGTGCAGTAGCTTGAGAGCGAATACCACTGGACCAACCATTTTACCTGGTGGACGAACGCTGCAACCAGTTACAGTTTCCAAGTTCCAAGTCACCATTCAGGAATTTAACACCATCAGATCGAGTGGTGGAACTGCGGCGACCGCAACTGCGACTAGACCTTCCAGACCGACTAGATCAACCAGACCACGACCGACGCAATCAAATTTTCAACCTTTCTCTCGGAGACCTACACAGTCCAACTTTCAGCCATTCAGTCGGAGACCGTCGCAGTCAAATTTCCAAGCTATTACAATCCCAAAGTAACTCATGCAATATTGTGACTGATGACACAACTGCAGCCGCGGCGTATGATATTACATATTTTCCTATACTACATAATAAAGAAATTTTTATGAAATTCAGGTCCTCCTATTGATTAAGTAATCATGACAGTGGTGTCGATTGACATCAAAGGCTAATCAGCCTATGGTACCAACGAACAAAAATTTATTTGCCTACTGTAAAGAACCTACGTAGGTTCTCCCCAAAAAAGGGCTGCGGGCTTGGGGATGTTTCTGAGGGTTTCCCTCAGTTCCGCTTTCGTATTTCTTGGTATTACTGAAATGTAGATCCGCGCCATCTTCCCACATTTTTCTAGTTTTTGAGCCAAGGAATGGCGTATATTAAGTTTGTCGGTCACGTTTAAAATTCAAATGATTATTCACTAAAAAAGTAACGCCTTTGGGATATTCATTGAAAATCTCTTGCGATAACCGCATTTTCTTCGCTTCATTAAGCGGCTTATTGAAAATTTATGACGTAGAAAATGTTATTGTGACTGAGATTTCCTTGGCTGAATTTGGGGTGCGCCTGAAAGAAATGCGTGGGATCGATGGGCGACGGACAGTGGTAGGGATATGCAGATACTGAAGAGTTTGGTCAGCGCTTTTTAAGGCATTTGTGGAGTCATGTAGCAGAGCTGGCCGGCCAACCCCCACCTCCTAGACCATCAACCCCTTTAAAGATATACACTTGTGGTAATTCCACATAACGCACCTGTGCTTGGAGTATATATTGCGGTATTGAATATAAATAATACAACTAATTGGTTTTTACCGGATACTCAATTTCGACTGATTTCCACTGCACAGCAACAAGGTTTCCCTCTGTTACTGATGCAAGTCAGCGAGGCTGACAAGGAAAAGCGTTTAGTCTTAAAGAGATATTTCCAGTATGTTACAGAACGTAATTTTATTCCATAGTACACTTTATGGCGAGAACAACAGAGATCTGATAGCAAATTCGAATTGTGCAAACCAAAGCCATACAAAGCCCTGATACCCTTTCAAAATAACGACGTAATAAACGATATTTTTTCAATGTTTGGTCAGTTATCAGCCAGTTAAAACAATAGGTACGCTCCCAAAATTTGTTTTGTCCTGCGGTGACCGCATAACTCAAATCTAAGGAGGGGAAAACACTGTAGGAATCAGATTGTGAATGTAAGAGAAGTTAAAGGGACGTGGTCGTCTAAAAATTATGTTTGTATTTTTTGCATATAACAGCCCATGAATTTATTACAGTCAGTCAAGATACACAGCATTGATAGTCCTCGGCAGTTTCCGTGAAGCTAAAGAGCGCAAGAGGAACTTTTACTACAGGCCGTATGGCAACAAGGGGGTTTCTAGTAATGGCCTGGATACTTGGATAAGTCACTTCCGCTTTACATGTTTTATTTGAATGCGCACTAGATGGAAGGTAATTTGGACAGTTGTCATAAAACCCAACATAGAGCTAAAGCAAATAATTACATGACTAAATCCCTTCAAAGCGTACTTTATGTACTTGGGTGTGTTTGGGGTGTTACGGTTCCTAATAACCAACCGCTGGGAAGAGACTTCTTGATTATCTTTCACGATCATAAAAGATGTGTCCATTTCGCGTCCTTAATTTTGCCACTGGTAATAGAATTACTGTCGCAGCTTTAACGATTGAAAGAACAAATTTAGATTACCCTAATTTAGTCACAGTAAACAATCAAGCTATATCTACAATTAATTGATTGGTCGATTTATTTGCATTTGAATGAAATGAATGGAGTTTTACATCCTTCTTTTCTGCACCTAATTGAGTTAATGAAGACGGACAACGCCATGCAGTGTGCTTTGAGGTACATTTTACTAGTCGTACTTGCCTACTCTTTCGAGGATTAAATATCGAGGATCTTTAACATGCACAATCTGTAGCTCACGGGGCCTAGGTTTATTTTTCAATCGCTGTAAAATACCGTGGTCCTAAAGAAAATTTACGTGGTCCATAAAAAAGCAGACATAAAAAAGGACGAAAAACTCCATTTGCTTCCATTATAGTATCTTTTTAATTTTCATTCACAAAAAAAGAATGTAAACGATGCATGACGTAAAATATGACAAAAGGGCCTGAAAGCATTTTAGTTTATTTATCTAGATTTCGCATTGCGATAAATAAAACGAGCGTCATTGACATATGCTTCAAGGCTACAGAAAAAATATAAAAATATTATATAAAAAATAAACGCACAAATGAAATCGATTAGAATTTATAAGAAAAAATTTGATTCCAAGGCCGGTGCTTCCGAGAGCTTTTATGCCCGACCTAATAATGAACATGTATAAACAGAAAGACAAACGGACGGAAAAATAAATGAATGAATGCAATGTTTCTCATACACATATTGTTGAATTGTTGATACCCAAAAACACCCCCCCCCCCCCCCCCCCACACACACACACCTACCCATCTGGAACACGTCAGAACGTTCGCATAATCAATATTCAATATGACTCTATGCGGAAAAAGCAGCGGTCCAGAACCAACATGTTTTTGTCAAAATTTCAATAACAAACCAATAAACAATCGATTGCGTAGTCAAATATCCTCCGCTCTTTGTACTCGGATTGGAAGGCTGTGCTCTAACAAAATTTCGCTCTAACGTATACAGTTAAAACCACCTGTTATCAGGGGCGATCAGCCACACTCCCAGTTTGAAATTTCATATCTTTCTTAAATTCTGTTGCCTCGGTCCTTCCGTCAAATGATATATAGACACGCCATTGCCTGTTATTCCTTTGTTATGTAACGTTAATGGGTTCGATGACGTCAGTAGTCCTATATTTTTGTAGATTGCCTAGGAATAAACAAGAGTATGGAATTATCAACCTATGAGCTTTAAGCTTTTAGAGTCATTAGATTGTCTAATTCGTTTTCATCCTCATACCTATTTTTTTTTCTATTTTCAGCAGAACCATTTCTCGAGTCCTCCCTGTACTGTGAAAGGAACAGCTGTCATTGAGATGATTTTCGTACAAAATTTACGACAACACTCGAATGGGCGAAATCAGGGCAAATTAGTCAACGAAGTTAGTATTAAATATTTGTAATAATGTCAATAATTTTATTACCTATAGATAATAAGATAGGGGAAAGTAATCAGCCTTGACAAAAGCCTTAATCCGGTTTTCAAAACATATAAATAGCCGACAGGAATTAATCTCTCCTCAGATAGTAACTCAAACTGCTTTGGAGTTTTAGGAAAAGGGAAACAAAAGAAAGTTTTAAGAACAATTTGTGTGCCTCTGGCTTTCGGAGTTGCAGGCATGAGGTTTGAAATTTTTGTGTGTTTTGCGGCTCTAGTTGCTGCAAATGTTTTGGGAAATGAGGAAAATGGCAAGTATATTGTCCCGCGTTTTAAAACTTTTACCGCGATTTAAAATGCCAAAATATTTTCTAATTTTATATATTTTTAAGATAAAACTGAACAAAAGTTCACGTGAAAGGGTCATTAGCTGCAACCAATGTTTTGCCAATATGTTGTTTTGGATTTCGGGTTTGGTTTTGTTGTTCAGATTGTCAGTACTGGAGGTTTTTCCATTCATTACTTTGTTTTATTTATGTCCATAGGATATATGAAAATCCGACTGCTGTCTACCTCAGCTAGTGATTATACCAGAGAGAAACGAGCTGCCGGTCACATGCCGGAACATCTGGCTTTTGAGGTAGACTCACCGCTTGAGAAACACGTTCTTAGATTGACACGCAGCAGTGGCATTCCAACCTACATCGCCAGCGAGAGCGGCACAGCAGAGCTTACGAATGACGCAAGGGTGAGTATACATGTATATATATTCTCCTTGTATTTTTACAACGCAACGTTTCAGTAATTTATTTGCATTTGGTTTCCATTAAATGAATTTTTTCCACAGACTAAAAATTGGAATGGTGCAAATAGATCATTGTAACCGAGAACCAATCGGTTTAGAATCCTCTTTACAATCCCTTTAAATTATCTACACCAACGTACCAAACTTTCCGCCACCGCTGAGGCCGTTGAATAGTTCACCAGCAGTAATGTATAATCCTACTTTATTTACAGGATCATGCATTATATGTGGATAGAAGTCGACGATCTGTTGTCATGGTAAAACGATCAGCTCCTGGCACAGATAAATACACTTTGGTAAGTTTTCACTTGAAAATATACTCAGGTGTATGACTTGGACTTTGTTACATGGTCTTACCATGATTAAACCGGGCAGGATAGATGCAGCTATCTTCCCAGATTTCTAAGTTGAAGCTTGCCGATGCCCTCATATAAACAGTCATAAGATCCATGGGCCTTTCATTGTCAATTGATGTACTCTTTTTCAGACAGGACAAATCCAGCTTGCGGACTCTTTAGTCCACATCGAACCTTCCAAGCGATCCAAACGATCCGATGAGGATGACACGAGTTTGGGATCGGACGAAGTCATTGAAATCAACCCAGATGGTATTCACTCCGTCCTGAAAGCTTCTCCAATCGATTTGTCGGATGATGAACGTACACGTAAGTAGTTTCTTATGGTATCATTTGGCTATCTTGCAAGGCAGGATAGTTACCATGACTGACTGGTAAACGTGAACTGTATGATTAAAAGCAATTTTTCATCAGGAAAGTTTCTGTAGGTAAAGGAGGTTAGTGTTCTAAGGAAGAACTCTTCGCTACTTTGAGCTAAGTCAAACTCACTGAGTGTGGAAACTTATAGCGCCAATTTGAACCAATCGGATTCAAGTACTCTGGAACTCTTTTCTCTCATTGCAGCTGAGAAATGATAGAAAAGAGTTCACAGAGAACAGGATCCAGTAACGAAGATATAGCTTGCCGAACCACAGTTATGATATATTTAACTTCCAAACTTTTGAATAAATTATATAACTAGCTATTTGCCTTGACTATTACATTACTTTTTGTGAGGGGCAGAAATAACCCCGTACCTCGCTTTCAAGCTCTCGCGTCAATGCCGATTCATATTAAAATTAGTTGTCATCCGTGCAAAATATCGACACCAACCGTGCATGCCTCATACGTGCATTCCTTCGGTGTCGGGTAAACGAAGGGAGTTGTTTATTGGGCATGCGTTGTTATCTTTCATCTTTCTCGATCGTGCAGTGGACATGCCTGTATCCCACCACCGACACATCAAGCTAAAATAATCCTGAATTATGAAGTATCGGACCGTAAACTAAATTTTGTAGTTTCCTTTGAAAAACTCTTCTTAATTTAATTGTTCTCTCATTTTCGGAACATTCGACTTGGACTTTTGGTATCTGGTTAGAACGTATTTTTGGTTATTGTAACTAAACAGTCACCTAGTTGACGATGACAATAACATGAATGGTATTGGGTGGGGACGCTTCTTGGGCAAAGTCAAGGAAGACTTTGGAGCTTAATGCTCATAAAGCTTGTGAAGATGTGAAGATAAGAAATTTGTGATTTTCTGTTTTACAGCCGACAGAAAGAAGAGAAATGTCTATGAGAACATGAAGACTTACGTGGACGATAAAATCCGAAGAGTGAAAAGACAAACTTCTGTATATACTGTTGAATTGTGTATGATCGCTGACTTCTCTGTTTACAGTTAGTAAGTATCTGTTTACAATTAGTAAGTACCTGTTTACAGTTAGTAAGTATCTGTTTACAATTAGTAAGTATCTTGTTTACAATTAGTAAGTATATGTTTACAATTAGTAAGTATCTTGTTTACATTAGTAAGTATCTTGTTTACAGTTAGTAAGTATCTGTTTACAATTAGTAAGTATCTGTTTACAATTAGTAAGTATCTTGTTTACATTAGTAAGTATCTTGTTTACAGTTTGTAAGTATTCTGAATCTTTTCCAGCTATCTTACCAAGAACAGCAACAATGCAGCTCTTGCAAATGCAGAAATTGAAAAAATTTACAGTTATTATGCTGAGCAGGTTAGTACGATTTATGGGCAAAATACATTGGGCAAAAAGCGTTAACTCTTTTGGCAAATACCTTGTTCCTCGCTCGTCAGTTCCGGTCTTTTTACGATCCAGTATGGCGGCTCATATAGACTTTTATACATTATTATGTAACGTTCTTGATAGTATGGTGATCTTCTTCTTCTGCTTCTTCATCTTCTTCCTTATTTCCCTTGGCCAAAAAGTATTCCTCAACTAACTCCTCCGAGTCTCTTTTCTCTTTCAGATCAAGGTCCGTTATGATAATGTCAATGAAGTTGACTCTTCTATCGATATCAACATCGTCATTTCCGGTTTGGTGATTTTGACGGTAAGCGTACATTGTACTTGGATTTCGGAGTACTCTAATATCATTTGTGTATCTGATTTGATTAGTTTACACGCGATACTGTTCTTCTGATTAATTTGATTTGTTTTTATTATTTATAAATTTGAAATCTGGTTTTTCTATGCTTTCAGACTGCTGCTCAATCAGCTCCTAGCGAAAACAATAAAGATGGCGTAGAGTTGGACTCTGGCGTTGCCCTGGACGCCATTGATTTGTTTGTTGTCAATCCACCAGCAGGAGTAACTCTTCCACCAAGCGATCACTACATGTTCTTCACCAAGTACGTATTCGGACACCATAGCTTATTTGTATATATATTGAGGGAATCAAGACATCCTCTTTTGATTCCTCTATGTTTGCTGGATTGTGGTATTTTTTGTTAATTTTGAATAAAAACCACTAAAAATTTGGTTGAGGGATGACCTCTAGCTGATGTTTTCCATTTCTTCTATTTTTTTGTTGCCTTGAATCCCATTATATTTTATTACCATCTGCAAATGGTTAACGTTCCATGTTCCACCGAAATTCTATGTGCTCTTTAGTGTTGTTTTATGAAATAATGGGCCCGTTGAAATGACTTGCTTTTCCGGATAAGTTATTGACCCAAAATGTTAAGAATGTGGAATATTATCTATTCATGATGTCCTTATTTTATTTCTTTTCTATTTTAATTTTATTTTTATTTGTTCACAGACTTGATTTGAGAAGCCCCGGCTCCGCCATCGGATCTGGTCTTTCAAACACAGGTAAGGAAAATAGAACTGATTCCACCAACAATCTTTTCCCCATTTTATCAAACCTTAAATGTACAAATCTTTCATTTTCCGTTGCAGGTCTGGCTGGAGTAGGAACTTTATGTGATTCGTTTACCTCGTCAAATTCAGCAACCTCGATTGTAGAAGATGACTTGACTGCCGGTGTCGGTGCCGTAGCGGCTCATGAATTGGGACATGGGTAAGCTTCCTGACTTTCATTGATATTTTAATCGGACACTCTGATTTTTAAACCTGATTTCCCCTTCCTCTGATCGGAACCCATTGTGCGTTAATGAACCTTTAAAATAAGCATTTTCAAATTTTCGTTTCAGTTTGAGTGGTAGACATGATGATCCTGCCAATGGATGTACAGAAACATCCAACGACAATTACGTGATGTCGGCAGTTCTCAATTTCCCCGATTCTGTAGCCCTTGGAAGTAGACCTTGGTTCTTTTCCCAATGTTCAATCAATTTTTTTAAAACTCACTTAGCTTCGTAAGTAATCTTACGTAATCATAAGTAATCATAAATAATCATAAGTAATCCTAAGTAAAGTGTGTTTAAGTAATGACCATTTCACGCCAGTAGAGTATTTTAGGGGAGCTCCACCTCAGGCATTTTCTACATACACCTATGCTTCTCGCAACCATGCTGGTTTCTTTTCCTGGTATACGTATCGGGGACACTTACAGCTTCTAATTTCGTCACTCCGATTCCTTGTCCATACTATGATGACACCATTATACCGATATTTTACTTTTAAGGGTATGTTTTTTTTTTGCAATGATCTGCCACTTTCGTGAAATGACTGGAACAGTAGGAGACATTTGCACACTCATTTTACACAAATATAGTGCAGGAAATAATACTCAATCACATTTCATTTTTCAGAGCAAATTGTGTTGCTGACAATAGCTACGGTGGAGGGTCTTTGATACCGTCTGATTTAGCTGGACAGGCTTTGAATGCAGATGACCAATGTCGTGAGAGGTATGGCGCCAGCTCCTACCTTTGCAGGGTAAGCATAAGAATCTTAATTTGTCAATAAACATTCACCTTTATTTCCCTGTACAGAACCTAACAATAGATACTTTGTTTAATGGATATATCTCCTATATAGAGATTCTATTCTTTAGTCATGGCACCTGGTAAGTCAAACTGGTAAATGTATACGCTTGTTGACCCAGTTCGAGACTTGAATTTTGTGTCATTTTTAAGAGTAGTGTTCCTTTAACCCTTTTGTTGTAATTCCAGACCGTCAATGACTATACGGATGCCGATGGTTTTGCGGATCTATGTTTTATTGCATTTTGTTCTACCGGTGGCACTTGCAGGGCCATTTTCCCACAACGATATACTACCTGCGGCAACAAAAAGGTAAAAAAGTTTTCCTTATGACACTCCCTTTTTTGAAACAACAGAAGATGTCATGGTAAATGCAGCATGTACACGACGGTAAAGGTAGCCTAAAAATAGTCATAGCATTTCGTGTGTTCTGACAAAATTTACTTCATCTCACACTCAGTGTTGTTGCCCCTTTTTTCATTTACCCAATCTGGAGAAAAGGTTGGATGTTTCCGTTCTCCATTTACTTCCTATGCTCTAAAGTGAATATTCTTTTACAGTGGTGTATCGAAGGCACATGTGTTGCATCAGCTGCTGCACCAGCAACAGCTGGAAACTTGGGTACGTGTCTGCTCTTTAAGCTCTTTAAGTACAAGATCGTTCGTCGAAATAGGCACCCATAGGACCAGGACTCTTTACTTTACGTGTTTACTTGGGTTATTAGCGTAGAAATAATGAAACAGAACTCGAATCAAGTTGTTATTCGGAATTTTACGATATGTGATCTTCAGACACTAACACAAATAGATTAGAAATGGCTTCTTATCTGGATTCCGCTTTGCAATTTGACACTCATTCTTTACCCTTTCGGATCGGCAAATATCACCCTAAGAATGACTTTGTCTTTTTATCGGGGACTTCAAGCTTATAATATTTGTTTGAAATTTTTGATTACAGACACATGCCCCCAAGGTGACCAACCTGGTACAAGTTGTTCGTCTTCAAGTTGTTCGTCTTCATTGAACCGAGACTACCTATGTTGCGCAACTTGCGCCCCACCTTCAACTAGTCCTACAACGTCTCCAACTACTAGTCCAACAACGTCACCAACTACTAGTCCAACAACGTCCCCAACTACTAGCCCAACAACGTCACCAACTACTAGCCCAACAACGTCACCAACTACTAGTCCAACAACGTCACCGACTACTAGTCCAACAACGTCACCAACCACTAGCCCGACAACGTCACCAACCACAAGCCCCACAACGTCACCAACCACAAGCCCCACAACGTCACCAACTACTAGTCCAACAACGTCACCAACAACTAGCCCAGCAACGTCACCAACTACTAGCCCAACAACGTCACCAACCACAAGCCCCACAACGTCACCAACTACTAGTCCAACAACGTCACCAACTACTAGTCCAACAACGTCACCAACTACTAGTCCAACAACGTCACCAACTACTAGCCCAACAACGTCACCTACTACTAGTCCAACGACGTCACCAACTACTAGTCCAACAACGTCACCAACTACTAGTCCAACAACGTCACCAACTACTAGTCCCACAACGTCACCAACTACTAGCCCAACGACGTCACCAACTACTAGCCCAACAACGTCACCAACTACCAGTCCAACGACGTCACCAACTACTAGTCCTATAACATCACCAACTACAAACATTATTGTAATTCCGACCCAGAATCCTAATCAAGGTACTGCATGCACTGTTAGGCGTTACCTTAATAGTTTGTGTAGCACTCGTAGCTTCAGACGATATCTCAGAACCCGCAACTTCTTACGAAGACTTACAAGAGCGCAACGCCGTAGACTGCAAGCCAGTCTGCGAAGACTCAGAAGACTGCGATCTAGACAGCGAAATCGACAAAGATTCGGTAGTCATTCTTAACTTGATGGTTTGATGGACTGAACGGACATATTTTGAATACTTTTACTCCCTTCTACTTACTAAAACAGACATCTCAGGTTGAAACATTTCTGACAATTTCTGCATTTTGAACGATCGGTATGATAATACAGTTCGGCTTTTATTTCCTAAACTAGACGAGTTACGTCAAATCAGGCCCGTATGTACAGGCGGGCCAATTGAAAAATCGAAACACGAAACACGCAGTTCCCAGAAAACTGATATCGAAGACGACAATGTGCAATGTTTTACTTCTTTTTTTAATATTTATTATATTATACTATTTCTTTTCGAACGTTTCGAAATACTTTGCCTTTATTTTTCTCTATTTATGCTTTGTTATTTTTTGTTGTGATATATTTCTCTTATTAAAGTTTTCTTGCATGTAGCTTGCATTTTCGCTTTTGGCCAGCGCTTGTGCATACTATTTAGCATGCGTTTTGGCTTATGGCCAGCGCTGTTGCAGTTTAAACCAGGTCTTGAGGGGCGGTGACACTTTTCATTAAGAGCTTAGCGGCGCTGATATTTCATTAAGTGCTTGAGGGGCGCTGATATTTCATTAAGAGCTTAGCGGCGCTGATATTTCATTAAGAGCTTGAGCGGCGATGATATTTCATTAAGTGCTTGAGGGGCGCTGATATTTCATTAAGAGCTTAGCGGCGCTGATATTTCATTAAGAGCTTGAGTGGCGCTGATATTTCATTAAGAGCTTGAGTGGCGCTGATATTTCATTAAGAGTTTGAGTGGCGCTGATATTTCATTAAGAGCTTGAATGGCGCTGATATTTCATTAAAAGCTTGAGTGGCGCTGATATTTCATTGAGAGCTTGAGTGGCGCTGATATTTCATTAAGAGCTTGAGTGGAGCTGATATTTCATTAAGAGCTTGAGTGGCGCTGATATTTCATTAAGAGCTTGAGTGGCGCTGATACTAGATGTTAAACTCAATGACATAGATATGACCTTCATGCCACTGGCACACTAGCTGGTGTTAAATCTGTCCATAAAACCAAAATACTTCAGATATCCAAATTATATGGTCGTAAAAAAAAGTCTTGCCTGTGGTTAGAATATTTAATGGTGTAAAGGTGACCACAATGTACTGTATCTTGTATTTTGATCAATTTATGGAAACGATTTTGATGATATCGAGTCGCAGTAGCCTACGTCTCTTCCACGCCATTTAATCAATGGTGTGTCATATCATTTTACATTCAGGAATAATTGCTGGTGATCCTCCCTTGACATGCTTTGGCTCCAACTCACCCTCCTCGTAACCTAACGAATCATCGAAGGCCACTGCTCGAATGTATCAAATCAAAATGAATTGTACCACTAACCTTTCCGCACATGATTTTGGATAACGGCATGCCATATGCAATCAGGAAAATTTCAAGAAGTGTTGCTGTTGTGTGGGCGTACGGACTTGGCGACACATCTTGTCGACTTTTTTTTAGCTGCCTTACGGCAAAAAGTACTAGCGCTGTAAGGAGTCAACCTGAAAATAGTAAAAAAAACAAGTGATTAAATAGAAAATTAAACTTAAGTATAAATAACTTCCGATAACAAGAAAGAGAACAAATATCACTCTTAGCGAAAGCCGTAAAGTAAGTTTAAAAAATCTCATAAATAGCTGGAAACAATCGATTATGTTTGGAGATTTTTTACAACTGGCGGTGGAGTGATATTTTAGATTTTTTAAATGAATTTTCTGACATTTTTGTGTTTTTTGGTTTATATATTTACCATAGTTTTAGCTAAAGAAGAGAATGGTGAGTCTAGGATACTGTTTAAGTTTATGTTTAAAAGTTGAGGGTACGCTGTAAAAATTATTATGGTTTTTTAATAGGGAAATCTTGGCAGAAAGGTTGCCTCGGTAACTTGTAAAATTGTGTTAAATTACACCACAAGTGAGATTTTACTGTAGTTTTTTAATTTTAAAATAAAAATGAATTTGTGTGTATTTATTTATTATCAAATTAATATTCATTAATGTGTTACTTTATTAATTCAGGATATGTGCAAATTAAACTACTGTCTACCTCAGCAAGTGATTATACCAGAGAGAAACGGGCTGCCGGTCACATGCCGGAACATCTGGCTTTTGAAGTCGACTCGCCACTTGAGAAACACGTGCTTAGATTGACACGCAGTAGCGGCATTCCTACCTACATCGCCAGCGCGAGCGGCACGACAGAGCTTACGAATGATGCACGGGTGAGTATATAGATGTTCTTGCACCACAATTTACTAACCATTTTGCTGTGTCAATTGAGGTAATTTTTAAATTTGGAATGGTGCAAATAGATCATAGTAACCGATGCTCATAAGAAGTTTGGATTCCTCTATTTAACATGTATACCCACCAATCAACCAATCAATCAACCAACCACTGATACCATTGACCAAATAATTCTCCAGCGTTTAAATATTATCTTTCTCTATTTCAAGGACCATGCTGTGTATGTGGATAGAAGTCGACGATCTGTTGTGATGGTTAAACGATCAGCCCCTAGCACAGATAAATACACTTTGGTAAGTAATGGGTTGCAGCTTCTATTGTCTCAATATATAGGATGTCCCACTGCAGCGTTTAGTCATCTCACAATGTCAAGCTATTTCGAACTGCGTCTTATACATTGACTGCAAAAGCCACCTTTCTTGTATGACCTAATTCAGCGATTTGATTGGATTGTACGCTAGATTATACAGCCAATCAGAGCCCATGACTGTTAACATATTGTCTCTTACATTGTAATCCTTTGTTTAATCCTCAGACCGGGGAACTACAACTAGCCGATACAATGGTCCATATCGAACCATCCTCGCGACCCAGAAGATCCGAAAATGTCAGTCAGGACTTAGATGAAAAGATCAATGAGCACTCCAACCCGGAAGGACTTCACACCATTCTGAAGGCTTCTCCAATTTATCATGGAAATGATGCTCGGGAAAAGGGTATGTTATATTTATACTCCTCGACCATCATTTGCTCTATTCCGCCAAGTAAATTGTATCAAGATGCGAACTCCAGATACGCCCGAGCTTCAATCTGTCCTCGAGGTTGCCCCTCCGGATTTATTACTTGCCCCTCCGACAATCGTCTGGCTATATATAGACCTGCTTCAACCATCCACTTTCTCTCTCTGTCTGTTTTTCAGCCGACAGAAAGAAGAGAAATGTCTTTGAGAACATGAAGACTTACGTGGACGATAAAATCCGAAGAGTGAAAAGACAAACTTCTGTATATACTGTTGAATTGTGTATAATCGCTGACTTCTCTGTTTACAGTCAGTAAGTATCTCCTTGACTTCTCTGTTTACAGTTAGTAAGTATCAAGTGACTTCTCTGTTTTACAGTTAGTAAGTATCAAGTGACTTCTCTGTTTTACATTTAGTAAGTATCTGGTTGAACTGTGTATGATCACTGACTTCTCTGTTTTCAGATGGGTATTTTTCTGCTATCAGAATTTATTTATTTTTCAGTTTTTTTGGAATATCTAATGATATCGCTTTAACGTTTACTGCCATTAGAAATATATACAGCTTCTATGCAGAACAGGTTTGTTAAATTGTTTTTATTCGTCAACATGATAATACAGAAGAACTTTTACAAAATGAACTGAAAGATTTTAATCGAAGACAGAAAGAAGTCAAGAGCAAAGTCATCCTGTACTTTTCGACTCCGCGTGCATTTCTTTCTCTGAGCATCTAATAAAATCAACTGGTGTCATTCGTTTTTTCCCCTCAATTTCAGATCAAGGTTCGGTATGATAATGTGAATAAGGTTGATAGTACTATTGATATCAACATCGTCATTTCCGGTTTAGTTATTTTGGCGGTAAGAATTTCGTGAACTGTCCTTTTTGTATTTGTTCTATTTGACCGATGCTATGTACTATGTAATAGAATTAAGGAAACGCTGAATAAAGCGGCACCCGTTATTGTCAATCATTGGTCCGCCGGTAAGTTGGTTTTGATGGGTTTCATCGTTATAAAATTTCGGTTCTTTATGATTTCAGGAGGCCTCTCTATCTGGCTTCAGTGAGACCAACAAAAATGGCAATGAACTGGACGCTGGTGTTGCTTTGGATGCTTTTGATGTGTACGTTGTGAACCCACCAACTGGGGTCACTCTTCCATTAAGTGATCATTACATGGTCTTCACAAGGTTCGTATAATGTGATTTTTGAATACCGGGCAACGCTGTTCAGGTCAGGCCCGTAGCAATGAAAAATGGATTGCCTCCCAGCCCCCCTGAAAGAATTCCAACAACCGACCAATTCCATTACGCTCACTTGCGGCTTTTTTAAGATTTACCCCGAACACAATATTCAATCCGTACTGGCATGAATTCATTTGGTGATTCTGTAATGGTTTTGACGTTTGTCTGTCTGTCTTCTATTTTTAGGTACGATCTTACATCTACAGGTTCCACACCTCCCAATGCAAACGCAGGTAAATCATTACGTATTCTTTGTTCTTCCTTTCTGTCCAATTCTGTCCAATTCCAATTCGACGGTAGCAACTATGTAAAACGTATTCAAGTACATGTAGTCATAACCAACGATGGCATAATATCGCTATACATATCCGACTGGATTGTTTCTAGCGAATACAGCCCATCAGAGCTCTAGACAGAAAGACTGTTAACATTATGGCTTTGTGTAAACTGTTTTCTGTCGAAGCCTCTGATTGGCTGTATTCGCTAGCGTACAAGATAAGATCTTGACCCAAGATCAGCTGGTGGACATATTTCCAGAGAACTTATAATGGTAGCCTTATCTTTTTGACCGACTATTTATGTACCATTGACACAACCTGTTAAATTACAGGTCTGGCTAACCTTGGTACATTATGTGACCAGGTCACCACGACAAATGAAGCAACGTCGATTGTAGAAGATTACAATACTGCCGGAGTCGGTGCTATAGCGGCTCACGAATTAGGACATGGGTAGGTGTCTTCCCAACTCGCCCCTTCCCAATTTGCCCCTAAATCATTCCTGTCTAGCCCCTACTCACCCCATATCGCCCCTTTCCCATGGCCCCTTTCTCAAATCTACGTTACCAGGCTACTATAAATACTTTTCCTCGTCTGAACAGATTCGTAACAGGTCCTGGGGTCGATTACTGTATTGTAACGCTCAATTATGACTTGAGGCTGTTCTTCTTGAACTGCTCTAGCTAAGTGTGTTCGATTACTGTACTGTAACGCTCAATTATGACCCTAGGCTGTTCTTCTTGAACTGCTCAAGCTAAGTGTGTTACTGTGCTATAACGCATAACTGCTCAGATTTAGTGTGTTCGATTACTGCGCTTATATTCTAAATTAATATTTCTTTGAATTTCCGTTTCAGTTTAAGTGCTGAACATGACGATCCTACGAACGGCTGTATGGAAACCACCGGTGATAACTTTGTGATGTCGGCGGTTCTTAGTTTTCCTGATTCTGTAGCCGTTGGAAACAGACCCTGGGTATTCTCCGGATGTTCTATCAACTTTTTTAAAACTTACTTATCCTCGTAAGTAAGAACTACGTTAACAAAGAATGCAGTGTACTAATTCTGAAAGAGATTATAGAGAGGTTTTCTTAATTTTTCATGTGTATTGGGACACTGATAGCATCGATTTACATCATTACCATTTTCAATCTGACGTTTGTGGTTCATGCAATTCCTCTAAATAAAACTAGGTGAACCCACGATATTTCAGAGCTAACTGTGTTGCTGGCAACAACTATGGGGATGGAGAGTTGGTACCAGATGTATTAGCAGGCCAATTTCTTAATTCTGATATGCAGTGTAAAAGGAGATACGGCCAAGCATCTTATTTTTGCAGGGTAAGCATTCCGACCAATTTAATTAAATTAATTTAGTTATTTATTAATTTGTATATCTATTTATTTAATTTAATTTAATTTTAGTAAATTTTATTTATTTATTTATTTAATTTAATTTAATTTTAGTTAATTTTAGTTAATTTTATTTATTTATTTATTTATTTATTTATTTATTTATTTATTTATTTATTTATTTAATTAATAGTTTCATTCATCCTCAGTTGAACTGCGGGACTTAAAATTCCATGTTTATTACAGAATGTGGAAACCTATCAGGATGCAGATGGCTTTGTGGAGATGTGTTACACGACGTATTGCTTCATTGGTGATGGATGCAGTGCTATCTTTCCACAACGTTACACCACTTGTGGTAATAAAAAGGTACTTAAAGTTTCAGTCGGAGTAGGGGTGGTGACAATAAGCCATGTTTACAGCGTTTCTGTCGAGGGCCTTGATTTGCTATATTCGCTGGTTTGCAATCCAATCAAATCGCTGCATTCCGTGATACAATAACTAGTCAAGGTATACGACGAAGTACGTATTAGATTGACATTGTGAAGATGTATCCAGTAAATAGTCTTTGTTTTGTTTTTTATTTCAGTGGTGTATTGAAGGTCAATGTGTTCAGTCAGCTATGGCGCCAGAAACGCCTGGAAATTCAGGTATGAAACTTTACTTTTAATGATGCTGATGATTAGGACGATGATGACGATGACTAAGACGATGATGACGATGGCCACGACGTTGATGACGATGACCACGACGATGACCACGACGATGATGACGATGGCCACGACGTTGATGACGATGACCACGACGATGATGACGATGACCAAGACGTTGATGACGAAGACCACGACGATGATGACGATGACCACGGCGATGAAGCTGATGACCACGACGATGATGACGATGACCACTACGTTGATGACGATGACCACGAAGATGAAAGATGATGATTTATATTTACTTTTTTCAGACACGTGCCCTCAAGGTGACCAATCAGGTTCTACATGTACAGACGCCAACTGTTTATCTGGTGATCTCAGATGTTGTGGATTTTGCGCCATTACCATAGACAACACCAGCCCAGTTACCAGTCCAGCGACTAGCCCAGTTACCAGTCCAGCAACTAGCCCCATTACCAGCCCGGTTACCAGCCCAATTACCAGCCCGGTTATCAACCCAATTACCAGCCCGGTTACCAGCCCAATTACCAGCCAGACAACCAGTCCAACTACCAGTATAGCTTCCGGTCCAGAACGGTCTAACTCACGGTGCAGTTTTATCTATTATTTGAACTGTTTGTGCGACGATAAAAGATTTGAATGGTTTCGAAAATGGCGCGCCTTTAGATGCCTATTACTTCGACGCTACCGAAAGTATTGGTAAATAAAGGTTCCAAGATGGCAGCGCCGTAACTACATCAAGGTAAATGAGACAAATGCCTCATGCCGAATTTGACAAAAGAATAAAATGAAAAAGAAATTAAAAATAGAGATATGATAATATTTCCGGAGGGGCAATGGGTTATGGTGTTGAGTTGCAATGGGTCAGTTGTCCGAATTTCCCCCTCCCGCCCCCTGCCCCTGTAACAACGGACCTGAGTTTATCATAAGTCATCGAATGTGCATAAATAGTTTCGATCAATTGTCTTGAATCTGCTTGAATTATTTTGTCTTTTTTGATGCGACTTTCCTGCTTTCCTGCTGCAGTGCAGCTTCCGATTCTCGGATAAAATAAGCCTAATTCAGTTGAGAGTGGTGTCCCTTTTAGTGAAATCCCTTGTATTAGTATTAATGTCTAGAAGGGGAAAGAATTCAAACATATTCCAAAACAAATATTTGTCAATGTTCGTCCATGAAATATTTGTTGTCTGATTCCACTGATTGAGTGGTATCCCTTTTAGGGAAATCCCCTACACGTGTGGTTTTGTTACAAATTCAAACAGGTTCAAAGACAATCAGTAATTGTGGTCTGATTCCACTGATTGAGCATAAAATTGTATCCTTGTAAGGAAAATACCCTGCACGCGTATTTGTCTGAAAGGGACAAGAATTCAAACAAGACAATTCGTGTAGCAATTATGCAGTGTTGTCAATTTTAAATAGTAAATATTTGTGGTCTGATTCCATTGATTAATTCAGAGTAGTTTTCCTGTCAGGGAAATCCCCTGCACGTGTATTTACGTCTAGTAGCGATGTAAAGTGTTTTGTGAATGTTTATATTTTTTCCATTGTTTTTGTTTCACAGTGTGTAATGGTGTCGCCGTGTTTGATTGGTTGGAAGATGAAATTCAGTCTGTGCAGTTCTAGAATAATCAGGTACGTTATATCTTGCTTTTGCTTTTTGTAGGCTACGAGTGCTGTTGTATTAGAAATGTAAACTCTTTATGATCGTGGCTACTGAATGTCCCTCAGTCCTCAATCGTCCTTTGAGAATGCGATAGGGCGAACAGATTTGGCTCAAATTTTGAATAAATAGGAATTAAAAACCCAACAACGGTCTGACTCTCGGAAATACTGGCCGGGGCGTTATCATAAAAGAGGATTCGAGCCCACAGACCTAATATGTTAACAGACGACAATCCAATTCGCTACCGATTTGGTATGTTTACGTACATCAATTTGCGCCTTTCCAATTTTGTATAAGACGTCTGTGGTTGCTACAATTCCACTTATACTGGTGTTGGATGACGTCACTAATAGCACAAACTTCTGATTGAAAATTGGAATGTTGCAAATTGATGCCAACAGTTTCCTCGATACACATAAAAAATTGAGAAGTCCTCGTTACAATCCCAATACATTAATACTGTCTAACATTCAGTCCATTGAAATGTCTACTTATTATGCAATCGTAAAACAACAGTATAGCTTTTAATTCTTGAAGTGGAACGCTTATTTTCCTGCTACGGCAATCATTGAAAATCCTCTGCGTCTTTTAGGATAGTTTCTCAATCTGGAAATTTTAGACCGCCGTCCGGTTGTTGGTCGGACAAGGTGTAAAACAAATGGACGTCTGGGTGCTAATGGTCGTGGCGGATTTGCTGGTCTAGGAAGTGGTCGTGGGTGTAACGGTAGGCTTACGAGTGGCCGTTGTTGTAGATGTGATAGACCTACAAGTGGTTGTTGTGGTAGATGTGGTAGGCCTACAATTGGTCGTGGTGGAACAGGTGGTGCTGGTTGTCTAGGAAGAGATAGTAGGTTCCGGAACTCTGTATTAAGCTGCTGATACAGTTTGTCTTCCAAATTGAACACGGTGTTATGTGCATTCGTCACGACTTTATGTGCACTGGCCATACACCGGTTGAACCATTTGTTGAAGACTGTCCAAAAATCGTCGCCGTATACCCAGCGTTGTCCTAAAACACCACCCAATCCGAATATTGAAGTAGGCAATCTATGGTTGTTGGATGACGTAATAAGTCTGTTGAAAATGTCGTTTGTCGCCGTCGCAGGTTTCGTCGTGATTTCTGAAGGTTCCACAACCTTGACGCTTCCACTTACACCAATGGACGGTTTTCCATACACCCCTGTTACTGTAACTTGGTGAAGTTCGTCATTTAGTACGATCGGTGCTTCTGTCGTCACTTCTGGTGCGCTTGTCGTGTCTATAGTCGTGGATTCTGGCCTATGTGCTACTATGATGTTTCCATTAATTATTTTGGTTGGTTCGCCATTGTTTGCAATTAAAAGACTGAGCTGACCGGATGATTTACTTGGATCCTGTTGTGTTGCTTGTACTGGTAGTTTGGATCGTGAATCCGGAATGAGTGATTCGGATCGAACCGGAGTATGGACAGTCTTGGTAATTTTGAAGCTTGCGGCTCCGTTAGACGTAGAGCCAACTGGACATGTTTCACAGCACTGGTATTTCCGGTCGGACATGGCATATACCGAACAATGCTTGATGTGACACACAAACCGTGGACTGTCTCCGGATGGACAGTTGTCTGAAACAAAGGGAATTGTAGACATAAGGCTTTTACATAAAAATATATCTCTTCTTGAAGCCTTCTCTTAAGATGGGTTAGAACTTTCAGAAATATTATTCTTCAGCGTATTGCATAATCTATAGTATGTACTTACTTATTTTGATTGGGGCTTTTTGATCAGGGACACAGCGACCCTGCTTGCACCACTGAAAGGAGAAACAAATAAAGTAGTGTAGCTAAAATCATGGGTGTTTCTGTCTCCGATTCATGGCCAAAGATCAGATGGAATAAAGTCTAAGGTATCAGTTTTCCTTGGGACAACTCCACATTTCTTACCGTTTATGTCCACTAGGTCAACCCAAAGGACCTGCAATCTCGAACATCGAAGCTAATATGTTCAATGCATGGGACGTTCACATGATGTCCAGGAATGAATTATTACCTTTTTATGTCCACAGGAGGTACCATCTATGGGTAATCTAACGGACACGGTGGTGGAGTTGACAACCTCACAGTACATCCCTCTACACATGTTATCGTAACCTTCTGTATAATGTAGATTCTGAAAAATAAATCATCGCAATGGTAGTCGATCTTTTATATAGTGAGTTCTTTTAGCTTCTGTGTCATTGATTTTTCGTATGGCTGGTACGTACATGTTGGTTTTCTTCTTGTGACAAACGTGACCAAAATTGCTTACCCTACTAATATACGACGTCTCACTATTGGCCATTTCACACTGCTCGTCCGCGGTAAAAATCTGCCCGGCTTCTTCGGTCTTCACAGATGTCGATGTTGGTGCTGTGTCTTTAGTGCAGGTTACTCTGAAACACAAGGATCAAATTATCATTATTGATTTATGTGAACTCTCTGCAAGGGGTGCCGAGTTGACGTACCAAATTAGAACTTATATGCTATGGTTATCTTTTAATGCGTATTCTTCATATTGAATTGAACCGAATTGTGCTTCTGGAAAGTTGCTTCTGATGCGTTTACTGAAGAACTCTGCAATGGACGTTTTACCTGCTTAGTGTCTCCTCGAACTGCCTGATGGAGCATATCGAAAACTGCCATGGTCTTTTAGCTAATACTTCAGATTCTGGAAATTTGAGTTTTGTAGCCATGATGTAATTATCGTCATCGGAACATCCGCTGGATTCTTTGTCGTGACTTGCTCCCAGACTGAAAATTAAACCGTATTATGCACGAACGAGTAATTATCCTTATGCTTATATACGTCATTATATATATTGTAGTTTTAATTAAGGTATTCAAGGGTAGAAAAGTAAGGCGTTGAATACCATTTCATTACATTACCCCCACGACTCACCTGTGACCAAGTTCATGAGCTGCCACAGCAGGCATTGATGAAGTCATATCATCATGAAGTATTGTCATCGAGGAGTCAGTACATAACCCAGCTAATGTTGACAACCCTGTAAATGAACATATATTTCTTATAAATGTCCTATTGTACTTCATCTAGAGGTTCTTTGGAAATTTGCTGCTGATGCGTTTACTGAAGAACTTGACTCTGGGAGCCTTATCTGTGTATTGCCTGCGCAAACTATCTGATGACCCTATGATTCAATTATGTATCAACCTGGAAGTCAATCGTACTTGCAACTCTTCGTCAATGAAAATATATGTTTAAAATCCATCAGCGCATACACGACGAATGCTACCAAACATAATTCCCGAAGACTCTCAGACAAGGCTGTCGACTAACCGTTAAATATATTTGGTGGAGCACAAGTTATGGTCTTTCATTCGATAGACCAATATTCACTCACCTTTTATGTCTGCATTCTCCCCCTTTTGTAAGCCATACCTAGAACGTTCAAATAAGCAATGAAGCACATCCCTGATGTATGTTAGGGGAAGACCATGATTGGACTGACTCTTACCGATATGTTAAGGAGTAGGGAGAGACTGAGAGACATGAATGGACTTTGGATTCTACCCATGAAATCGCACGTATTCGTAGGTTATATTACAGCTTGCTAAACGAATACTCAGAAGTATCTACATTCAGTTTAAGAAGCTAGAGAGTCCATGTTGCTTAGAAGTTTTGTCTTGCTTACCCAGTAAAAGCGATTATGTGATCATTGTTAGGTATGTCGTTCCTTTCTTTGACCCATTGTTCGAGCTTTTCAAGTGCAAGGGTAATGTTCACTAGCCCATTCTGTAGTTTGGCACGTTCCGTCCATGATGGTGCAGTATCCTAGAAATATATGAAGAAGGCATATATTATAAGGAGGGCATCTTCGTTGACATTTCAGTCACAGTTAATAAAATATATTATTAAGGACACCAGCTTTAGTTCAGCTGAAGCCTGTTTGTATCAAATCCCCATCTTGACAGAGCCTGTGGAACTGGAATACTTTGGTTATAGGTTAGGAGATCTTCGTTGTCAGCAAAGTCACATTCAATAAAGTAACAATATACATCACCTTCAATATAAGCAATCCAACCAATTTGATTTGTAAACTGTTAATGGTGTTGCTCATCTTCGATACATAGCTGTACCTTTCGTTCATCTGCAAGAAGATTGGTTTAAATCGAAATAGAATTTCAAGGACTATTTTTCGAAGACGATGTACTGTAAGGAAGAAATTCTCTGCTGTTCTTCATTTCTGCAATTTAAAGTCACTTTGATTTATGTAACAACTGTATCTGGGCTAATTTTGTTCATCTCACAAATTTCGTAAGGGTGGAGATTTGAGAATTAAAAACTGTTGCGTCCCATGTTCATTTAACTGACTTAATTCTCGCTCACCGATCTTGCAATCCAGTGGTAGAAGATCTCCATTCTTTTATCAGCTGCAGTAATATCTCCATCTACAGTCTTCAACCACCTACAATGGAGAACAGTTGCATTATTCCATCCTTAACAATAAGAATTAGCATCAGCAATTACATCGGATTCAGATGATGACGAAGGCCACAGTAGCAGTATTTTTAAGAACTACACTACACCAGCCCCAACGTCACTCGCCTATATACAAAATAAAGTTTCAATCCGCTTATTTACCATTGATAAGTTGGATAATCTGTAATGATAAGACTTTGAAGACATGGCCCAATGATGATAATGCTGAGGATCATGGAGATGACGATGAGGATGAAGATGATATACTTACTTCTGGTAAGCTGCGAAATCTGCTATGAAGAAGACTTCAATAACGTGATCCTCTGGTGTAGGTGCTCGTCTTGCGATCCGTACTTTACGAGTATCTCCAGTAGCTGATGGGGATCCTGTAAAGGCAAATAGACTGGAGATTACTTACTGAGTTTATCCATTACTAATTTTCAGTGTCTTTCGAAGTACCAAATAACAAATATTGGGAGCATCGGCAATGAAGATACGTACCTTGGTGAAGGATGTAGTCATCTGTGAAGTCGGCTATAACCTGGTGCGGCAACACTTTATATATGATTTCATTGGGCAGCTCTCCCTGAAATGGTTATGATATAAATAGTTCGACGAAGCTTTGTTTTAAATACCACTATAACGAGATTGACAATAACGTTTTCTTTCATCTTGAATGACCATTGGATTCATTCCATATTTTATTAATTGTGTTTGCTTGTGGGTTGGATTTTGACTCTAAGTATGACAATGGAAACATGTCAATCTTCTCCTTGATTTTTCTACCCTAAGTCTTCCCAAACTTCTGCATATTGAAAACCGCAAAAACAATGTTGTTCCTACACAAGTTTGTCAATTTCTTAGAAGTATGTTAGTTTGGATGGTTTACAGAGGATGCGCCAATCAAGCAATGGAGCAGGAAGGTCAATGTACAGCTGAAATGTCCCTGGCATGAAATACACGCCTGAGATATCTCCAATATTACGCATTTTCCAAAATGAAAATGATGAGTCGTGATTCTATTTGACAGTGATGACAGGATTGTAATTAAAAAGTTTTTCTGTAGTTTTGAAGGTAGCAGGTTGATTTATGTAAAATTTGCACTCTTTTGATGTTTATTACTACATGTAGCTAATTGACAAATTCCGTGTGCACGTTATATCATGAGCAATTTCTCAAACGTCGGGGAGAAGACAGTTTTGCCTGTTGCAGCAACCCCCTACTAAAACAGTTTCAGTGGAACGGAACTTACCAAATTTGGGATTTGCTCTAATATACTGGTTTCTGAAATAAGAACAAGGGCTTCGTAATTCGAGGTAGTTGCAGGCGCCGTTTACTGTATCTAAGAAAATCTTTCAGCAGTTTTCATCCTTAAGCACAGTCAGCTAAAAGTATTACCTAACTAAAACTTCCAAATGTGTGTCTTAAGTCCAAATTGGAATTTGAGCTGCATTGAACACATATTTATCCTGAAGGAAGTGGTCCCCTAAGCTGTTCCTCCGGCATGTATGCTTTTGGTGGTCTGTTACAGGGGTAGATTCCCATTCTAAATCGAAGCAATCTAAATTCCTTACCTGGCTGAAGCGGTCCAGCTAAAGTCGAAACGAAATGAAGAAGGAATAATATAACATCTCCAAATCTTGTGGACGACATTTTGTATTTTGTCCAATTCTGGTCGTCTGCCGATTATATATACATTATGACGTCATTATGAGTTTTTTAATAAAAAGAAAATTTATATATCTTTGGTGAAGATGTCTTTTTGATGTCAGGACGACTCGTGAAATATTTGGAGGCGTAACTGGTTTTTTTTTTTATTTTGTTGTTCATTGTTGCGTTTTGTTTTGAAAAATATTTCGTGAAGTTTGGATTGTGCACAGTATTCCTAGTTCCTTGTTCTTTGGCAAATGCCAAATTTAGGAGAAAGCTATTAGTGGGACAGGAATTGCTTAGCCTCGGCGACACTTGATACCTCTTTACGTGTCACTGCGTTTTCATGTTAGGGGAGTAGATGAACATGCTACGGTTTCGAAATCGTAACCTCTATCGCCTTGAATGTATTAGGCCCTAAAACAAGTGAGTGACATTTGTAGGCATTGTACCTGACAGTTAATTGTGTTGTGTTGTAGATATAGATATATTGTGTCTTGGTTTTATGTACCATATGTATCTTGTCCAAGGCCGTAACACACTACAAGTTGTAGTTCTAACTTCATTGTGTCCAGGCCCGTAGCCAAACTTGATTGTACGGAGGGCAAGAAATATATTCGGAGGGTAATGGTGTATGTTGCAGTAATCGAAAAATAGCTGGCTAATGGACCCTCAAAGCACCCAACATGGTGTTGTCCGCATCAAATGAGAGCACAAATTTTGGATTTAACAAATAATTATTTAATTAAGGAAAAGAAAAATTAACAACAAATAACGGTTAAGCAGAAATTGTAACAAAATTGTTTGACCTTCGTCGTTGAAAGATAACACTCAAAGCAATGCAACAGTTCTTCTGGACTTGGTCCCGTTCCATTGTCATTGTTGCTCATGGTTAAGCAGAAAGATTAAACACAAAGCCATACAATAGTTCTTATGAATGGTTCTGTTGCTCAGTCTCGTTGGTGACATGTCATCCTTATGTATCTTTTCGGACGTCCTCCTTGTTCGTGATGCCATCTTTCGGGTCTTTGGATGAACCGATTACATTGCAAAGTCTGGGACGCGTCGGTAGATGCATTCCAGTGTTCGCATTTTTCAAAACACGGTTCTGGGCTTCTATCAGAGCATCAGTTTCCTCCAGAACATCAACAGTATCTATGTCACCTTTCTTTACATGCCACGTGTAATGTGACTTCCGGTTTCCCGCTGTTTTGAACCCTTTGCCGCACAGTCTACACCAAAAGGGAATCTCGTCCGTATGAGTACGCATGTGAACCTTCCGATGAATTCTCTGAAGGAATCGTTTGTCACAAAATTCACATTTGAACTTCCTATCCTCCATTTCCCGCTTACAAACCCGCTTGAGATGTCGGACCCAATTTCCACGTTCAAGGAAGGCCTTACCACAAACCTCACACTCAAACGGTTTCTCACCAGTGTGCAATTTCATGTGCCGCTTCAAACTCGTCGCAGCGTGAAACGATTTAGAACAATGGGCACAAGAGTAAGCTTTCTCGTCTGAATGTGTCTTAATGTGCTGCACCAGATGATTATTGAGTTTATAACACTTCCCACAAATGCTGCAGACGAAAGGTTTATCGTTCGAATGTTGACATGCCATGTGGGCTTGAAAATGACATTTCTTCTTGAAGGCTCTACCACAGATCTCACATTTGAAAGGTTTGAAGTCAGTGTGACTACTCCTATGTTGCACCAGATAAGCACTTTGAGTAAAGCCTTTATTGCAGATCTCACAACGCAGAAGCTTTTCAGCTTGATGAGTCAGCATGTGTTTCTTCAATCCACCATGTTTTCGTCGGAATCTTTTGGGACAGAAATGGCACTTATAGGGCTTGACATCAAAGTGGATTTTTACATGCTCCAATATATGACTAGCGAATTTGAAAGGTATGTTACAAATTGGACAAAGCATTGGTTCTGGAGTCGCTTTAAGGTTCGTGAAATCGTCAGAATCATCGTGGTCATTCTGCGCGGGTACCCGAAAGACCTTCTTAGAATTGACAAATATATTTGGACCTAAGGTCGCCACTTCAGATATTAATGTCTGAAATGCAGTTTTGATGTCTTCTGGAGAGCCTTGCAGTTGATCCTCAGGCCAAATATCTTGATCAGAATCGTCTCTTGTATCATCCATAAAAGATCCGTCAAAGCCTCCGAAATGAGGAGTCTCTGGGGGAGATACGGACACCACATCTTGTTGTTGCTTGTTCTTCGATGCTTTCTTTCGTGATGGTGACAAATTGAAGACGCTGAAGAGGTTTCTTTCAATCTTGTCTTCGGAATATGCAGTCATGGGAAGTTTGGTACCGTTCAGTCTTTGGTCCTCACCATGAGCAGTGCTCTCAGATACACTTGAAGGCCCGGGAATAGTTGGTTGGTGGTCAAGACGGCAGGTTGATATATCATTAACAAAACATTTACCCGTTTCATTTTTGATTTTCTCTTCTGTATTGGTAATGTTCTGTGGAGTAACGTCATTTTCTGCATTTGTAGTTCTCCCTTCTTCAAGGTTAGGAAAATCTACTGCTTGGTCGATTTCTAATGACGAGTCTAAAACAGCTGCAGAGGATGTAGGTTCGTCAACATTATGAGATACGTCTTCCAAAGCGGTACCCACTAGTTCATTTTTGAGTGGCACCAAAGTTTCTTGTGTTGTGTTGGATGACTCTTTCACAGACTGATAATAATTTGTGGGATTAACTTCTCTCTCAAATTTAACTATTGTAGAAACGCTATCCAAAGTAGGTTTCTCATTGTAGCGTAGGCTGGTGGGCATGGCTTTAGTCTCTGCATGTATGGTGGTAGATACATTATTGGAATTCAGGCCTTGTGTTTTTTTGGACAAGGTGTTAAAGTCTATTTTAACAATTGTAGGAGCATCAGGATCTGGGTTTTGGTGGTTGCTTGGTGTGTCCGAGGTATATACTACTTCCTCTTTGATGGGTGGTGGAGGCACATTCAAATCAGTGTAGTGGCTGCCAATAAGACATGAATGCATGGGTACCGACTTTACGACTTCCACTTTAACTGGTGACAAGGTATGATCTACATATTGGTGTTCATGCTTTTCGGGATCCTTTGAAGCTGAAGAATCCACAGGTTCCAAGGGTGTAGAGTCTTCATTCTTTGTCATCTCCTTAAGTTGAGCCAGGATTGAATGCAGAACTGATCCTGGAGTCTTGGAAGCAGTGATCACCTCCTGTAAAGGTGGAAAAGCATTGGCCTTGACCTTTGATTTCGGTGTTATTAAAAGTTTACCAAGCGGTGTTAATGGTGTGATGGACCCTGCATTCGACATAATGGTCTCGGATGCTTTGAGTGGTCTGATTTCCCTACTGCTAACAACAGGCTTGATGCCAGCATCCCGAATGCCTTTGGAGGTCACTGTAGCTGGAATATTGTCAATAGAATAAGGAGTTATGGTCCTAATAGAGGCATAAGGCTTGGTGGTTGAAGAACACTGAGAATTATCTGATTGGCTTATGGATTTTGTCTCACTTGAACTAGTGTTTTTTGCACTGGGAAAATGAATGATTACTGGATTTTTGGTATAATTGTGCATAAGGTCATACTTTCTGGGAGTCAAAAGATGCTCATTTGGTTCCACAGTTTCTGACATCATGCTTGTATTTTTAGTGGGTGTCAGCTTGGTTTGGTCGGATCCACATGACATCTCTGGATGTTCTGACTGACAAATCATCTCCAGTTGGTCTGACTCACTTGTCATCTCAGCATCACTTATGACTTTGATGTCATCCACATCTATAACATTAGGGAGATCGAGAACTTGGGTATTGGAGTTTACATCTGAATTAGTTGTGAATAGCCTTTCATGTGGAACCTTTGATGGATTTCTTACCATTTGATTGGTGGTTATTTTAGGAACTATTTTAGAAATCGATGCTCTTTTTGATGGCAAAAGGTTAAGATTTCTCAAAAACTCTTTGATGCTACCATTGGAACTGAATGTTGGTAATTCCAAGTCAGGTCTATTGTCCTGTGGCTTTGTGATGAGTTCATATTTAGATCTTGTAATGTATTGACGCATGTGCTGATCACTAAGTTTTACGCTAGTCCCAGATTGTGGTTTGGCTTTGATGTTTGATGAGGTACCTCTGACTGTTGTCAGATCAGGATTATTCATTTCTGTTGATGATTCCATGGTGTTTTTCACCAGATTATGACAAGATAGAGCTTGACCTGAAAATAAACAAAAACTAATATCAACATTGAATTAAATATAGTTTCACAACCCAACTTTCTGCACCGTATGGGCTAATGAAGACAGTGGTATTTGATGGAAGTATTTTGACTAATTTGAATGACATGTTTTGACTTGATAGATATGTTTTGACATATGTGATAGATATGTTTTGACTTATTTGATTGACATGTTTTGATTTCTTTGATCGACATGTTTTGATTTGAAAGAGACCTAGGGTATTATTCTCGATAACCTACCCATCAAGACAATATTGGACATTCTTCAATGTCCCTGTGCTCCACATGATACCATTATTGAGGGTAGGGTTTTCCTTACTTAGTACAACTTTGTAAGTTAAGCCTAATCCTTCACTGAATTTATAAAATGTGTGTGGGCCTCAGAGATATTGTAGAATATATTAATCGTTCAGCTTTGTATAGAAACCAAAAGTTGTGCTTTTGAAATGGTGAAAATTCTTAAAAACTGGTGACTCAAAAGTGGGTTGGGTCCACTTCCATACAAAGTGACATTTTGTGTCTGTCCATTACGTGCTGATATCCCTTCCATATATCATGTAAGAGGAACAGATAGGGTAAGGTTGATTGGGCTAGATTTTATTTGATTAAGTTTTAGAGATTTAGACCTTACTGTAAGCGATCCTGACCAAGCTCTCGATGATTATAGTCCACTCAACTTGGCTCCTAAACCAGTGGCCATTTTGACTTGAGTTAAGAGTTTGTGGGTCCATTTTGATCATTTTAGTTAAGTTTATTATCACAAGCAGATTTTAAAACCTCCTTCAATATTATATCCTTTGAAACTTTCAAAAATGAAGGATCTTTTCAATAAAGACTTTTGTAACGAAATATTTAAAAAAAAGGGGCCAATAAAGTTCAGCAACTCTTTAGTCTTTTTATACTTTTGTCATTTCAAGATTTACAACAAACATCCTTATTTGATACATTTCGAGATTCTGTCTGGCCACGTCTGACTCAGAACCCCACCCAAAATTCATAATTTTCCGTCGGAACATTACCGGTTACTTACACTTTATTTATCTAAATTTTCCACATTCATCGGTGGTAAATATTTTCTGAAATTCCGAATAAATAGATTTCCTTTACACGGAAGGGAGAAAGTCAGCCATGACAGACCACGTGACCTATTATTAGTGTAGTCTAAAAAATTAACTCGTACTCTTACTTTCACCTTGTAGCGTCTTATAATTGGATTTGGAAAGGGGTGTAAATGAAGACCAATGTTTAAAAAAATAAACTTTTATTTAAAAAATGAAAAAAATGTATTAGCTTTAGATAAGCTTTTATAAATAAACATAAATATAGCCAAGACATCGTCCACTAATGCTTGTGTTTATTTCTATCGATTGGAAATCAGACCACAATAATTTTGTCGGCCTTGTTTGATTAAAAGATTTACCACAGACATTAGTAGTTTCGACACTTTTAAAATAAAAACAAAACATTGCACATGTTCTTATATTTGAAATAAAAATATAGATAAAAAAATATAAATGATATAGAATGATAAGATTAAACATATCAGGTATAAAATTTGCATAATTTTTGCGTTTAAAATACAGGCAAACCCGTAAGAAACGGGCTTAATCGTGTATAAATGTAGGCCCAAAATTAAAAAGGTCCAGACCTACATTATTGCACCATGGAGCTGAAAGCTTAAGCTTAAAAGCTTCCTTTTCAATTTCTTATTATTTTTTTTAATTTTTCCAATTTTATCTTTATAATTTTGACTTCATATTTTATTTTTGTATCTATTTATTTTTTTTTTTCTTATAGTTTTTAAAGATTTTCGGGCTTAACACCGGATACATAGAAGACATGAGAGAATGAATTAGTTTCATCCCCAAAACACATCTGTGAAGCTGGTAAGTAGATGACTCTTATACTTTGAAGGCATATTCACACAACAAATCGTTATTCATTTACATTATGAACTGAAAACCATTCTGGTTATAATGTTCTATTTATATATGGGTGACAATCTTTTCGCATCCGAGTCGTCGATGGAAATTGGAATTCCCAAGTTGACAGCAACACAGACTTTACTCTTGGCAGTGAAGTACATTGCGTAAAGGTCGAAGAAGTCTCTGCTATCCATGGCGTATTTTATCCCTGTTTCAAACATCTTCATGGCTTTTGAAACTAGATTTCTGGAATATAAAAAATACATATTTATATAAAAAAAATATGGTCAAGATCTGTCCATCAAAGTGTCAAGCAAGTGCCAAACATTTATCAATATTCAAAAAACAAACATCAATTAAAACTGTCAATCAAAAACGTCACTCAAATATGTCAATCAAAAAAATATCCATCAAATAAGTCAAAACATAGCCACCAAACAAGTCAAAACATAGCCATCAAACAAGTCAAAACATAGCCATCAAACAAGTCAAAACATTTCTATCAAATAAGTCAAAATATATCTATCAAAATTCAAAGTCCAATAAGTGGTTTTTCTCACCTTTCTGTCTGCATGTAGCCGATTTTTTCATAAGCTTTGACACATGAAGGGTCGATCTGAAGAGCTTTCTCTAAGCTTTCTAAAGCTTTGATTTTCCTATCCACCATCAGATACATTTCGCTAAAATATATAAACAAACAAATTAAATTAAAGAGCCACAAATCCATTAGGACGAAGAGCACTATAAAAAGCACATAATAATGAGCACCAACGCTTAAAGGTGGAATTACTGACAATTTGCAGAAGCCCCCAGCAATTGCACCCGGACAAATTAAAGCCCTTACAGAAATGAGTAAGGTAAGAAAAAAAACCCTCCCTGCTAATTGGCCTGACTAATAAACAAACTTACGCTTTATGGGTAAGTATTTGCCCAATGTGAGGAGCTAAACGATGGGCTATGTCATAATGTTCTTCAGCTTCCTGATAGTTCCTTCTGTTAGTTAAAACCTAGAGTATTAATATAAAGATTAAATGGAATGAATGGAGTTTTACGTTCTACGTTCTGCACCTGATTGGGCTAATGAAGACAGGCATTGTTTTTTGATATAAAGTAGTCTATACATAAATATATATTTACCTTAGCATAAGTAAAGTGTACCAAATAATGGTTTGGATGCCTCTCAAGCATTTCTTGGAACAAGACATCACCTTCGTGTTTAAATTTGAAGTGGGCATCACTCTCGTTGGCCTGTCGGAACACTGAAAAGATAATAATTTTCCTTTTCATAAAAAAACTTGTTGGATCTATTAACTGGACTGAATGGTGTACTCTTTCAATGAAAGATTTTGGACTAGGCGGATACTTCTTCATAAATGGTCATTTTTTTGGCATCCGTTCTGTGTTGGTGTTTTGCTTTGACTTTGTCGTTCAGTTGTTCATTGGTGCTTGCGTAATTGTTTTAATGCCTATGCAAAGAAAGACATTAGAAACTTACGTGCCAAAGCTAAAGCAGTCATGGCTGGTATGGAATCAGTTTTGAACCGTAAAGCCTGGTTGTAATTCTCGATGGCTTTTAGATAATCACCAAGTTTAAAATACTCCTAAAATAAACCGAAACGTTTCATCAATGAAAATCCATGATGTCGGCAACCCAAGTGTGGCATAACTGAAATTTCTGGCAAGGGTTTTGCAATTCAGATCCAAGATGGTGACATTCTTACTGGTTGTGTAAAAAAAACCAAATGGTTCCTTTCGATTCAGATCCAAGATGGCGTATTCATTGGTTGCGGATTAATGTTGACTCACCAAAGCGCCCCTCCAATGATGTTTAATTATTGAAATTCAAAGGTGGTGCAGATCAACCACCGACAGAAGATATCCAATAATAAACAATTTGTTGTTATAAAGGAAAAAACGTGAACATACCTCTCCTCTGTGGAAGAAAACGTCGGTATTATCTGGTACCAGAGCAACAGCTCGATCAAAGCAGACTTGAGCTTGGGCTGGTATAAGCACCCAATATAAGAGACTAGCGGTCTGGATCAGTATAGTAGCAGATAGCTGCAATATAACAACAGAAAATAGATATGTACCCCTGAAAAAATCCCGACAACCGACCCATTCCATTACTACAATTTAACACCATACCCCATTACTCCACATCCAGGTCACGACACAAGGAAATGCAGTATACTGGTTGTCATAAAAATACTAATATGCATACTTGTAGGTAACACTTACCAACGGGTCCATATTCGGCTTGATTTCGATCTGTAGAAGCAATCCTATGGCATCATTCGAGGAGCCAAAAAGGAACAAAGCTGTTGCCTTTAATAACATGTACTTTTCTGGATTAGTAGAGTCAGTAATTTGCTTTTCTTCCAGATGCAAGGCAGCCAGGATATTTCCTGCCAGAAATTCTCTTTGAGCTTGGACAAGGGCTCTGTGAATTCAAACATATCATTATAGAAAACATATTCAAATGATATTTCACTTCACAATGTTTAAACATTTTAATGTCCTAATGATCAATTTATGTCCGTTTTTTTAAGCAACCAAAGCCGCAACTGAAGACCTCCTAAATTAAAATCAGAGGATCTTACCTGTCCTTATAGTCCACTTCTGCACTCGGACCAGCTTGCTTCAGACTGAAAAAATTGCGGCTCGCTGGAGTCCCGTCAACGACCTTCAAAGGGTGATTATGGAATCTTTCCAAAAATTCGTCCACAACATATTTGGGAGGTGGTGGATGAGTATGTAACTGTAACGAAAAATTATTTCAAACTTGAATATTTCTGGGTGCGAAATGATTCATCTCCTCTAAATCGAGGGACCTGGAGGTCCTGAAGATCGCTAGTGATGAAAAATCAGATGCGAGCCCATTCTTCAAAGTGTAAATTCCATTTTTTGAAACTCGAAGTAATGAGTCAAGTTAGGCCATATTTTAAAAACGGAACAGTAGCGAGGACTCTAATCTAAATAGGTCTCTATGTTATAAGTAGCCTGGTAATAAAGTGGTATAAGAAGAATCAACTTACCCCCCACAATTCAGCGGTACGCACCCGAGCCAGTTCCTCGGTTATTTCTTGAATTCTGCCTTGTAACGAGATCTCTGGGAACCTCACTATATAGGCAATGGTGGCATAATCTGTAAACACAACAGGAAGAATCGGTCATTAAGTTATATTTCGAGCCAACAGTCGCATTCAGAGCACCAGCATCTTGGTCTGTCAGCTGCAAGCGGATGCTAAATTGTGATCTACCAACCAACCGACCATTCACAAAAAGGCAATTATTGTTCTTGTGTCTTGCCTCATCAAGATTCCTTAGTTTGCCAGGAAACTAGATATATGAACAGTGGAAAGCTACTACAAAACAACAAAATCCCACTTACCACCGAGAGCTTCTTGAAGTTTTCCAAAATGCATATAGGCAGCGGCTCGCCTACTATAGACATCTTGGTCTCCATTGTATTGAGCTAAGGACAGCGTACAGTCCTTGATTATATTTTCTCGATCTCCCTGGAAAAATCAGAAACTTTTCATGGTAATCATTCACATTCTTAGGCTGTGGGTGACAGAATGGGTCGTCTAGGTCTTCAAAAGTAAGAAACTTCTGCTTCTTCCTTTCAATTTTGATCAATGGTTCGGACTTCTGTATTGGTTAAGTTTTACTACCTTGAAAAACCGGCCCCTTTTCACTGCCACCTAGGCGTAGATAGGAAGCAGATATCGCCAATGTAATTCATTTGGTATTCATAAATGTCGAGGAATCAAGGTCCAATGGTAGACCTATAATAAGTGATACATACCATTTCCTGATAGGCGGAAGCCCGGGATCTATAGATCTTTGCTTTCAAGAATCGTTCCTCTGCTGGACAACAATCTGCACCGTCGGTATAAGCAGCAATGGCTTCCAAGTAGTTTTTCTGTTTCCGCAGCTTATCGCCTGCTTGTTTAAAACATTCAGCCATGATGGTCGACGGTGGAGGTCCAGTGTCTTCCAGCTTTATGGGAGGCAACTCTCTTGCTGTATCCATGGGCATTTCTGCGCCACTATATATGTCAACGTGCTTCCAGATATCCGCGGTGGGCTTGACAACATTGACTGGCTTTTTATCTAAAAAAAAAAAAAAAAGGGACAATGATGAACTGGTTGTGAATTGGGTGAGTACGTCCACAGAATCGTCAAGGCGGCCCACAGGCTTTCAGCTCCCCCCCCTGATGCAATAAAACGTTTTAATAATATCGATGGATATCGAAAATTTAGCTGTTTATTTTGCTTCATAAAACAAAAAGGCCCATTGATGCTAATCGTTATTCGTCCCAAAAAAAAAACAAATATATTTGGGAATAGCTTTCAAATCTTCATCAAAGTAACTTACCCTTTTGGTCATCACCTTGAACATTTCTCACAAGCTTTTGGATGAGATAAGTCCCTGCTACTCCTATCCCAATCCCAGCAGCAAGGCTTAATCCTAAGTTTATATCACTTTGGTCTATATTCCACAAAGGCATTTCGAAAAAATCCGAAAAAATATCCTAATTCTTAAAGCGCGTCTTCACTCTTTAAGTTCTGCTATCAGGATGAGGAACTACCACCGTTGTCTGGCAACATATCGATACGCTTTTTAGAATTGCTCTTAAACGTCCTAAAAATCAAAAATCCCGTCCGTGGGGTTCAATTACACGAATGCATCATTTTTGATACCAAACTGTCCAAAAAAATATAATTTTACGTCAACAATTATTATTTCCAAACTTAGGACTATTTGACGTCGCGTATTTGTATTGCGTTTGCCCATGACGTTATGCGGTTCGTTTGTTCCTATTATGACGTTACGTCAATGCCTTAATGCCTTGAATATTTGTTTTTGATATGCAAAATTACCTATTTTATAAATAACCATCTCCTTTGACTGATTAATTATTTTACAATATTTATCTCTGAATCTGATACGTCCACATAATGTATTTTTTTCACGATTTATAAAACGCTAAAGCAAATTCCTATAAAACAGCGTTACTTGAACGTCTTACTTACGCATATAAACTAAATCTATAGGGTATACTATACATGTTGTCTGAATAAAGTTTACTCTTACGAAGTTGTCCCCCTTGTAGGTGTATTTTTCACAATTATCCAGCCAATTTAAAAGCATGAAAAAAGCTTCAATGCGAATAGAATTTATTATCATAAATAAAACAGTATAGCAAAGCTAATGAACAATGAACTGAAAATAAAAAATAAAATAACGAAACAAAATAAATTTTATAACAGAAGTACAAAATAATTTTTAAAAAGATGTTTGTAATAAGGACGTAAAACTTCACTGCGACTTTTTCTAAATGATCGATTGCCATATTCGGGAACAACATATTGGGGTGCCGCTTTGCGAATCGGTTTGCCACCTCGATATTTCTCTCAGAGAGAGTCCACTCAGATGATATAATTTTAGTTTTTATTTTACATTTTTAACAGAGAAAAATCAATGAGATCAGAGAAGTTGAACAAAAAACAGAAAATTAAACTAAAATTCTAATACTTTCAACGCAATTCACCCTGTTGTTTATTCAATATAAAGTCGATGATCAAAGTGTCCATTTAATTTTATCTTTCGACTGGAAAAAGTTTCATTTGATCTACAAATTTAATCGTAGTAACTGATCGTAAATTTATCGAGAAATTGATCAAGTAATTCTTGATTGAATACATCAAGTACTTTTTCAAATAATCAAGTAAGTTTTCAGGCTGATCCAGTAATGTTTTCAAGCTGATCCAGTAATGTTTTCAAGTTACAAGTTGATCAAGTAATGTTTTCAAATAGATCCAGTAATGTTTTCGAATTGATCCAGTAATGTTTTCGAATTGATCAAGTAATGTTTTCAAATTGATCCAGTAATGTTTTCAAATTGATCCAGTAATGTTTTCAAATTGATCAAGTAATGTTCCAGTTCATAAATCAATATTTTTGAGTGAATCACGTCAAACACTTAATAAACATATATTATTATATATATACACGCATTTTTCCTTAATTTATTTAATCCTGAAAGACTAGGCTCCGGTACCATTAAAGGATACAACACTCGTATATTCCTCTTCGAAAATCAAACTTACGAGAAATTACCCCTTAATAAATTACTAATTACTATTTAACTTTGTACAAACACACTTATTTATTAACAGCTATGATATAAACTAGGTCATTTCGAACATGAACGTGCATATTTGTACCGTTTATATCAGAGAATAGACTCTGATTTTCAATGCACGTACGAAGACTATGATATTATGACAAAAGATATACAACAACAGTTTCATTTTCAATAGCGCCCAAGCTCCAAAACTCGACAGCAACTCGAAATAAGACCCAACCATCCGCACTTGCATCCTTCCTTCTAATAAGTGCAAGTTCGTCCCATCTCTTTCATAACCAAAACCGAAAATTAAAATGGCGAAACTCTCTGGTAGTTTTGGTAGAACTGAAGCTGTAGGTGTTGAAGCATTGTGACTTGTTGCAAATTGAATGATACCTGTAAGGCAATAAGAAGAAACAAGATTAGCTATGTGGACTCTCTGAAATGGATATAGAGTGACGACATTACTTATTACAAGTGTGTCTAAAATTGTTAAAGGTGTTTGAATTTCGGGGAAGGAGTTTAAATATTTCAAATCCATGACCAACGAATGCTTTAGCTGCACAGTGACATTGGCTTCCATGGAACCTGCCAAAGTTGATCATGATGGAGCTAAAGTCTATCTAGGATAAATTTCAAAGTTGGTATACTCACATAATATGTTTTTAAAAATTTTATTTGAATTTGGCTAGAAATTTCTGCGCTAAACTAGGGTTCTTTCTTGGAGGAGGCGACTCTGGTGATTTCTGGTCGAAAAGGCGAGCCGCTTCTCCCACAGACAATCTCTTGTAAGACTTGACTTCTTCTGCCTCAGCAGATTTAGCTGGATGTTGGCGTAGGGTGACCTTTTGTGGTGATTGAGGCTGCAGGCTCAGCGACCGCTGTAAAGTTGGCTTTTGATTTAGAACTGATGGGTTTTTTGGTGATCGGACACCAGAAACATTTTTAAGATTTAAGGAACATGCAGCGGCTCGACGGGTTCGACTTTGATTTGCAACCGGGTTAGCTTTATTCTGTGACTGAATTCCCGTTGCTGTTCGATATTGAGCTGCTGTCGGACTTCTGGACATTGAAGAAGATAGATGAGGTGTTGAAGCAGATAGTCTGGATGACAGTGGAGGTTGATGGTAGGCTTCGGGCGGTCGAGAGTTATACGGGCTGTTATCAGTGTACGGATGAACAACGTTGACAGGTGCTTGAGGCAAACATTGCTGTGACCCTCCGTAAATTGGAATTGCATCTTCGTCCTTCTGTACAACTGGTACTCCCTGATCAAATATTTTTGCCATGTGCCCCACAGAATTTCGCCGTTTTAATCTAGGCCCTCCATGACTGTCTTTAGTTCTAGGCAAGGTAGTTGCACCTTCCTCGAAATCGTATGACGCATCTCCAAAGGCTTGAATTTGGGTTAGTAATTGCTGACCCATATCTTGATATTGGTGTGATAAATCAGCACTAGCTCGAGAGTTATCCACAGGAGCAGGCGTCCCTCCATCAAACATATGTGCTAACAATTCTACTGAGTTGCGTCGTTTCCTGCGTCTCGGAAGCGTTGCAGCGCTGTCCGGAGACATATGATGTTCTACGGGGATTTCTTGATACATGGAAAAACCCCTGTCAGTTTCAACCAAACCAGGGATGACGTCCACGGACACACTTCTATTCAAAGGAGCAGCAAAGGACCAATTTGGTGGAGGTGGTCTTTGTGGAGGTGACGTTGCACCTCTCGATGGATACATTGGTATGGACGGAAGTCTATCTTCAGATTGAGCACGTCGTGATCTATCCATTCTTGGAACACTCTGTCCCTGGCCTAGGTATTGCGTTATGTCCACTGGTCTTTTAGGTTCCGTTCGACTGAAATAGGGAGTAAACTGTAGTGATGTTTTCCTCGTTGGACTTGCACTGTATGATGTTAACATTCTTTCCACTGAGCTCCCCCTTTTGGGTGGCACTGGGGCTTGTCTGGTATTCCAACTGGACCCTCCGAGGATGATTTCTCGCTGATTTTCACCCGGACTTAAGACAATCTGTGGACTTAAAGCAGAATCTACTGGTTTGAATTGTAACGGTGCATGTGATCTTCCAGTGGGTTGGGGGGAAGCAGTTGGCTGAGGTTTCGATTGCCAAGTGTTGTCCCCGTGGATCATCCTGCTTGGAGAAGGACTACGTGATGGACTTCTGGAAGTTCCCAGATAAGAAGGCGAAGTAGATCCTGAACTTGACGAAGATGTGTTGTATCTGTTAGTCAAGGATCCCACCAAGGAAGTTTTTCTACCCGGAGTTTCTATCATCTTAGTAACGGATCCTGGTTTTTCGATCATGACAGTCCCCTTTGGTAGATTGTTCTTTCCCACCTCCATTATTGTTCTTTTCGTCGTTTCTTTCGTTAGGATTTCTTTCTGAGTTGCCTGAACTGGTACCAGGCCGGGCTGCACTTTATCAGAAGGAACAGCTGGTTGCTCTGTAATTAGCTTAGTTCTTATTAGATCTGTATCCACAACAGCGGCTTTTGCACCAACGGGTCCTAATGCTGCACTAGCGATGACATCCGTATTTTTGTCTATCAAGTGTATTTTTTCCGTGCTAATTGATCGTTTTATACCTGCTGTAGGATTGTCGCACGAGGTCTCGGCTTTCTGGGTTTGCATCTCTTGTGTAGTAAACGTTTGCTTCAATCCCTGAATCGGGTCATTTCCAGCACCGAATGGTTTGACGAACTCCACAGGTGTGGAAGTGATGGACCTCTGAACGACAACGTTTGAAGGTGATCGCTGTATTTCCCCAATTTCCCCAGTTTTAGCATTTCCAATACCTCTTAGATCAATGACCTTTGATGCTACTGTAGGTTGGTGGACGATAACTTTCTCTGTAGGTCTTTCTTTTACCGATATAATTGGAAGATATCGTACAGGAGAAGGTACACTCGGTTTAGACGTGACCGGGGATTTTGGACGAAGATCTGTTGGAAGAAGCTGCATTATTGGACTCTTACCGCGATCACCCCTTTCCCGGCGGACTCTGGTTCGATTTGTTGCTGGAGACGTTTCTCTGGATCGAACAGTAGTTGTAACAGTATGAGTGACAGCTGGGCTTCGTTCACGTCTTCTGTTGCCATCTTGATTTCTCTGATCTACAACCAAGTTATTAACGACCATCACTCCGACAGATTCCTGACGAACCAACCGCGGCGCTTTGCCCGTTTCTACAGATGAAGTTGTAGGACTGGTAACGGTTTGTACAACAGGCATTCCTCCAGATGTTGCTGTAGGACTGGTTACCTTTTGCACATTAGGTGTACCCATAGATGTAACCTTTTGTGCGCCAGTTGTTCCTGAGGAAGTACTGGATACTTGATTTTGTTGGGTTGTTTTGATCAAGGCAGTTGTTTTGTATTTCGGATCGTTAGATTCTGGTGTTGGTTTGCCCGGGAGTGCCATATTGTGAACCGGTCCTGTCTGGTGTGTTACGGGCAGTTCGACCACTGGAGATTTCACTGGTGTTGTGGATAATGACTGGCCATTTCCTTTCGAGGACGGATTTGGTGATGCTAGTTTGATTTGAGTGTTAGATGGCGTAGGGGGAGGTGAAGATACTAGTTTTGTAGGTAAAGCTTCGACCGATCGTACATCGTTAGCATTAAGGGACAATGTTGCAGGTTTTTGCAATTCGGTGGATTTCATCATGCTTTGGGTTGTATCAGTTGTAGTAGTAGAACTCATGGCGGCAGTTTTTTGTACCGTTGCAGTAGACGTTTGAGGAGGGATAACTGTTTTAGGGACCGTAGCAGTCTGAGATTGGGTCAGTTTTTGTGTAACTTGCGTTTGTTGTGTCGTAGTGGTTTTTTGTGTCGTTGCCGTTTGCGGCTGTTTTTGTATTGGTGATTGTTGTGTTGGTTGTTTTGGACTGGACGATGGTTGAGTAGCCGCCTGTGGCTGCTGACTTTGATTCATCGTCGTTGGTTGTTTCGTTGGAGACTCTACAGCGGCTGCTGTGGTTGGTGGTACAGATTTCAACGGACCGTTAGCCCTTATTGCACCATTACTTGCGGAAGACTTCGTCGTTTGCGTTGCCGATTTCATAGACGATGAACTCGTTGTTAGCGTTGACGATTGGGAAACCGTCGAAGCTTTCTGTCCTGTAGCAGATGTTGTTGCAATGACTTTTGTAGGGCTGACTTTTGTTGGGCTGAGTTTTGTATCCTTTGTTGGGCTAGTCTTGACTGCACCATTTTCCTTTTGGTTTGCCGGAGCGCCAGTTAATTTCTCGGTTATCTTGGATATCCCCAAAGATCCTGTGGATATCTTTTTACCAGATGATGTCGAAGTTTGTGTTGTTTTCTTGATCAATCGTTCCTGAAGGCTCTGAGTTTTGGACAAGGGTTTCTTCTCCTCCTCTTCTTTAGTATTCGGTTGAGTCGAGTTAGTTTGGGACGGAGCTTTATTGATAGCGACTTGTTCTTGTGGTGAAGGTTTACCGGGACCTGCCCCAGATGGTGTTGTTTTTGTTTCAGTTCCACTAGCTTGTTGTTTGACGCTTTGTCGCGTCTCTTCAATACGATGAGCAGTAAGTGTCCGTGTGTTGCTTTTCGTAGTGGACGTCGCTGTCGTAGTAATAGCAGATCCATTGGTTGTAGTCTTCGTTTCGGTACCTTTCAGGGATATAGCATCTTGTTGTTTTGATTCTAATGCTTTAGTTTCGGATTTAGTGGTAACTGCTGGTTTGGCTGGTTGTGGGGAGACTAAAGCCTGACCAGAATCCGGTGAAGCAGAGGATTTACCATTGGTTTTCGTGGTTGATGTAGTTTTAGTGGTTTTAGTGGTAGTTGTGGTGGTAGTCGTTGTGGTTTTCTTGGACTCGGTTCGTTTTGAGCTGGTCTTACTGGCCGATGTGGTGCTAGGAGTAACGACAGTACCATTTTCGGACGTTTTCTTTGCAGCTGTCACTGCTGTATCCTTAGGTGTTGGCTGATCACTCGATTGTTTCTGCTCCACGCTTTTTTCTCGTTCTTCTGGTCGGCGCCGAGTCTTGAGGATAGATTTGACGGGCTTGTTAGAGACCTTGACTCTTACATTGATCTTCTCTTCTGTACCATCTGGACTGGTTGGTGGACTCTCAGTTTCATCTGAAATTAAAAGCAAGTCTGTAAAATAGATTCAGGGCAGATCAGGACATTTTTTTTAGCTTCCATTGAATGAAGGCAAAGAACATCCAAAAAGGTAAAACACCACAAAGACATTCTCGGATGGAAGAATTGGAGTATTATATGTTAGTATAGATCTATACCTCTACAACCTTCCATGCCAGAATCGTAATAAATGCACTGAAGATCAAGTCATCAACGGATGGTTTATCAGTAAACACAAGTGCCAATCGACAAACACCAAACACATGCATAATTATGAATTCAAGACCCACACACTGTTGACAGATTTGGTGATGCTATTTTGATTTTAGTGGTAGATGGCTGTTGATCTGTTCCGGATCCAAGGAAAAGTAATGAAGATTAACAGAAAGAAACTACTCAGCTGATCTAGATCACCTCTTCCAATTTCTCAATGAAGTATTTGTTCCATCTTCGGTCTGTACATTTGGGAGAACCAAACCCTCCCTTCTCCGAAATCTAAGTCAATTTAAAAATCGAAAAACCAACCTAGTCTCTTGCACCATGGCAACTCAAGTATTAAGTCTATTTCAAAATCTGTTAGCAATTAAAATCGTTTATTTTTTTACATATGGTTTTAATACAATGATACAATGAATAAAAATTAACAGTTAGTGACAGCTAGTGGGTCGTTGATAGTGACTCACTTGCGAAGCAGGGTCTACACATCCTATCAGAACACCCGACGCCACTATGCGACCGGGCTTTTCAATGCAGCACTCCATTACAGAGAGCTATATCTAATGGTATTAATTTGATGTTCTCGGTGCCCTTTGCCCAATGATGAAGATGTATAATGATGATAAATTCGAATGTGATCACATTTATTAAAGCTATCACTACATAATTAAAAGAAAATAGATTCATTATTTAAAGCTAACGTGATTAAACAAAAACTCAACGACCAGTACCGGGTGGAAAGTGTACATCATGTACACATTAAATATCAACAATATTGTACATAAATATATTAAAGCTATATTTCTTAAACAAATAAAAAAAAAATCAACAAACTTTCATTCTTAAACCACCTAAAAGATTCGACGCAGTTCTTATCCAAAATCTTATCCAGAATATCTAACGAAAAATGTCCTCGCTATAAAGCTAATACAATTTATTGGGTATTTGTGTTTTGACAAAGTTATTTTGACAGTTGATTAACAATATTAAGCCGACGATATCTGGGGAATATTTTCTTCAATTCCTTGTGGGGGAAATTTGTTCTATATATATTCATCAGAACGAAGCCCCGGGGCGTTATTGTTTCTATTATATAAATGATTACGAAATAGTCTTTATTGACAGCAATGTATTATATACTATCTGCTAACGGTTTGCTCACTTTACTGGAACACCGATGTTGGCCATGTTATTCAGCTCAGCATCGTAAAGATTGTGCACTGAGTGAGCTTATCGTGTTATGCAAACAAGATGCGCAAGGAAAATCAGCAACAGCCTCAGTCATTTTGTAATTTTGTCTGATATGGTTGTAAACAGGCTATTTATGTCACTGATGGTATCACGGAATATCGAATGATTTTGATTGATAAATGGTTATCGATTGGAGCTAGTTCAAGACTGTGATATATTGCTACCTATTTTTAGTCTGATAACCAACTAGACACAAGCTTCGGTAATGACATAAAACCGTCTTGTCAACCGAGTGGAACGAAAGCTAAGGACCCATGTGTTAGAGTCTACCATACGATTAACCATTGAAAATCCGCCAGCGCTCTGATTCAGCTTTGTGGAAGCTGTTAAGGGTTACCTAAGAAGAAGTTGTGCCGCCCCCTTCTTTTTTTTGGGGGGGGGGGGGGGGAGAGCCTCATGATCATAGGAACGCCAGTATCTGAAAGACCCCCCCCCCCTCCTTTTCAACACACACACTTCAGTTTAGGGTGAAGACGCTAATGCCAAATGTGCGTATTATTGACGAGTCCAAGGCCATGGTTTAATATCATTCTATAAATAACTGGCTTGTTGATGGACAATCAGAGTAATGGCTTGGAAGTTGAAGAGTTAATCAAATATACATCAAATAGATTCTGTCAGTGTTCACGATATATACATCCGACATTTCAATATCAAGTCAAGGATTTCTATTAGCTTTATGCTAGACAGTTCCAATACTGGGGTCATAACGTTGGAGGGCGGGCTGGCATTGAAGAGCGTCTTGTCGGTTGAAATGATGTAAGATGCTATGCATATTCCATTTACAGCTGAGTCTCTTTCCAGAAACCTGCACAGTTTAACTTAACTTAACACGAACAATATTTCGTGGTGAACATAATTACACATCGGCAGGGATAATGTCCATAAAAGATGTTCGTATCAACACTCAAAAAAATATTAATAATAAGCTAGATTTAAAGAAAATATTAATGCTGATGTGAACGAGTTCCTTCTGAAAATCCAAAATGCAATTTTAGAGATCACATACACAAAAAAATCAAACGGTTCACATGAACCACCCAAAGTAAGCAGTTCGCGTTTCCTAATTCGCTCCGATACACTTTTTGCAAAGCAACATTTTTAGTTTAAACTGCTATTGTCCAAACAGGGGAACATTTCGAACCGACTTTTATGCCGAAATCATAATCCAATAGCCAAGAGCCAGAGCTACTGCTATTTATCCAAAAGACTTTTAGAAACTGCATAAATAACATGGAGTCCCAGTATGGTGATAATAAAACGCCCACACGAAATTCCAAAACACAGAGCCAGAAAGGTGAACACTATTAACACCAACACGCATTCCCGGTAATAAATTTGAACACCACTAAGCTTCCGTTTTTTAATCCTAGAATTTTTATTCGTTGTAGGAACACTTCCAAGTACATGCAGTTCCGAAGATGCATCCGATTGCACATGCTTTCCCGGATCATTTGACCTGGATTCTGAATGCACATGCGTGTGTTGAAGATTTGACCCAGATTCCGGATGCACATGCATATTGTTGTTGAAGATTTCTGGTGCCGACACAGAATTGTTCATGAACAGAGGACCATTTGAGGTTAGTTCTAAATTATTGGGTTTATCTAGCTTGTTAGTAAAATTGTTATTCCTTTCCGTTCCCGAAGCTCCGGAGCTTTCTCCGTCCCCCGAAGACTGAATGTTGAGTTTGTCAAAAGACTCTCGTGAAATTTTGATTTCTTCGTTGTCGTCGATATCCCCCAGAAAGAACTGCTTGGAAGATGTCTTTAGAATGGAACACAAAGGATGGATCTGTGAATCGGATTTGAAGACATCGTCAGGCTCTGGCACATCCATGATGTCCTCACTCGCCTCACTGCACTCTGCAATAGAGGGATATATAAATATATATATAAACCACTCTACCACAAATCTTGCCACCCTTTGACCAAGAGACACCCCCTTTGTACCCTAAACCATAAACCCTTTGGTTGAAACACCCAACCCTCTGCACCCTAAAATCTTTGGTTAAAACACCCAACCCACAACCAAGATAAGATTTAAGACAAAGTGGTCCCAACACCCAACTCCTCCTATCCCTACCAGTCACTGTCCCTGTATTGTTAGAGCACTAAAGCCTTTAAACCTTACGACCACTTATTTAGAAAAAGCCCCCAACTCCATAAGTTGATGTGTCTCATGCCATAACTTTGAATACACCAATGAACGACCTGCAATCCCTGTGAGACTGTGATCCCTTTATAACACAGTTTATCAAAGGCGTTGATTTTAACCCACCCTTGGGAATTGCGCCCTGAAATTTTGTGAGTTAATTAAACATGTTAATTGCAAAGCTGCTAAGCCCCCATTTTTCAAAAAGAGCAGACAGATTAGAACATGCTCAAGTAGAATTAGATTAACGATAAATACCATGCCATACATATTTCATTGAGTTAAAAATGCAGCAAGTTGCAACAAGTATACGCTATTAGACTTATTTATTCAAATACGTGTATATTATTCATTTATTCATGAAATATTCAAACAAAATTTGATACTGCCAAAAATTTCAGGTTTAAAATATTCAATTTTTCTTTCGGTATTTTTCCTAAGTGAAAATTTAAATGTCAAGAGATTTTTTGAATTGAATCAGAATAATAAAAAGCCAAATTTTTAAACCAATCGCAAAGCTTAATTTATCCCAAGATATGACATGCAGCTTGATCATCGACGAAGCTGTACCAAGTAGATTACGTAAGCTTCGTCACCGGATCAAAGAAGGTAGGCCAAAGTTCAGAAAATGTCACAAAATTTCATAAATTTATTTAAACAACACCTCGGCACACGTTCTCGAATTTCTTGACACTTTCATGAATAAATAATTTCTAGAAAATCGTAAAATTCCTCTTTGGTGAGTGAATTTTATGATGTTCTTCTTTAGATCACAGAAGAAGCTTATGAATATTCATGAGGAGAGAAAGCATAATGTCGTATTTAAAATATATTTATGTGAAATTGGAATGCCTTATAGAATTTGAAATTTAATTTGTTTTATCGTGATTCATAAGCTTCTTCCAAATACCACCAAAACAAATGAAAAAAATAAAATGCGTTGCCTCACCTGAACAACTTCGTATGGCATCTTCAGCGAATGCCCATTCTCCCAGAAATTTGGGCCACGTGTGTCTGGATTTTAACGTAATCCCAACGTAGAGTTCTGAGAGGGGAGAAGGAGGAGCGAACCTAGCTTCTTTAGCAGCGACCTCCTCCTCTTCCACTTTCTCCACAATGGTGGAAAACATTGGTGGGTACGACACTCTTCTTCTTTTGTTCTTACTCCTCGGGGTTCTCTTTGGTTTGACTGAAAAGACACAATAAGATGTCCATCAGGTACGGGCAAAAAAAGGGAAGCAAGTTTTGGAACAACCCACCAAGCCAGAAACGTAATGATTCTTAATTAGCCTCTGGTATCCACCGTGTAGTCCTTCAAAGCTTCGAGAATTTGTTACATTTAAAAAGTCTGTCTCAGCAAAAGACCTTCACTTTCTTAATGATTCGACAAAATACATCTGCATGCAATAAATGATATAAGTTATTTTAGGAAGAACTCTATCAATGTTTTAGTCTCAATCCTAATGGGAGTTGACTTTACTTAAAACTCGATCTTTTTTCATGCTTCAGTGCATTTATTTTGATTAAATAAAATCAAGTCTATTTGATTATCGATTTAGACATGATCATGTTTGTAGTCTCGTACATTAGGAGAATATTACCAAAATAGTATAACTGGATGGTCCTGTCTATATGAAAAATAGGAAAGAGTAAAATTTGCCTTGAATTATTCGTCATTAGCCTAGGAAGAGGCCAGGATAATCAAGACCACAATTAAACCAGTAAGAACAGATCTTTAGGGCGCTTTATTTTGATATCGAGTTCACGTAGATCCTTTGTCTTAGCTCAGGGATCTTCAACTTTTTCCCTTTCTATTACCCCTTACAAGATCCTTGGTCGATTGCATTACCCCTTCCCACACCACATGCAGTTGTCAGAGCTGGCTCTTGCAACTCAAACGGTTAATACAGATTTATTTAAATTGGTCCACTGTTGAATTTTCATAAAAAGGCGAATCGTGCTTTCAAAATCCACATCACGTAAGATTTCTTCGTTAATTTGAAAGGTCTCTGTTTCAATAAAAGCTATTTTCCAATTCCAATTCCACGAAGCCGTCTTCGGATCGATCCTGACCATGTCACGGCATTGATTTTCCTCACTATTCTAAATAAAAGTTTAAATATCATTTAACCAAAGTATTGAAACCTTCACAGGCTGTTACAAGGGGTTTACCTCACACAATTATGAGGATTTCCAAAGTGAATCATGTTGTCTATATGTACCCAATGCCTTTCTTTCGACCACTCATTGAGATCCAGTTTTTCAAAGAAGATTGGCTTTGAGCGAAAATAAAGTTTGGAGTACCCCTTTCAAAGAGTCCAAGTGGGTGTTTATTTGTAAAGTGTACTCGCCAAAACGACCAGGAGCAAAGCAGGCTAACTCGCAAAAAGGACAACGAGCTAAGCAGGTAGACTCGCCAAAAAATCCAAGAGTAAACCACCCTCGTCAAATAGGACCTCGTCAAATATTACATTAACTGGATTTGAAGCGAGAAACTGAAATATAACTTGACAAAGTCAAAGACTCAAGAGACACGAGAAATTGAACGGTTTTGGTCTTAATATACGAATTTGGAACAGAAAATTGACAGTTCTTTCCATTTTAAACAGAGCCACGGCTGGTCTATTGATTTCTATGGCTTTGATGTGAAGAACTGAAATAAACAGTGACAAAGACATTGAGTATAGGACTTTCTCCAAATACCAGATATTATCGGTAAATGGTCCTTTATGTCTTATGGCCCTCCGGTATTTTTCCCCAAATATATAGAAGGCAGTCAAATCCTTTTATATAATTGTTGATTTTGGGATTACTCTAGTAATGGACTGATGAACTTGATGTCTTTTGGTATAATGGATGAAAATGTCACAGGTTCGATGTTCTGTTTGGCATGCAATAATAATGATGTCACAAAATAATCCCTCCATGAGCAAAGTCAGAAGGTAGAAAGAGACAGGGGGAATTAGAAAGGAAGGTAGAAAGAGACAGGGGGAATTAGAGAGGAAGGTAGAAGGGGAATTAGAGAGGAAGGTAGAAGGGGACAGGGGAATTAGAAAGGAAAATAGAAAGAGACAGGGGAAATTATAGAGGAAGGGGGACAGGGGAATTAGAGAGGAAGGTAGAAAGAGACAGAGGGAATTATAGAGGAAGGTAGAAAGAGACAGGGGGAATTATAGAGGAAGGTAAAAAGAGACGGAATTAGAAGGAGACAGAGGAAGATAGATTGAAACAGACGGGAGTTAGAAGACAGATCAGTGGAGAGAAGTTCGATAGACAAGGGACAGAGGTATTGGGAGGAAAAGGGTGAGAGCAAAGGAAAAGAGAATGGTGGATGAGAAACAGTTTTAAAAGTAGAACGGTGAGGGGGGGGGGGGGGGGGGGGGGGGTTCATAGTAGAAGAGGACAGGGCAGTACAGATGAGGTTGAGTTAGGAAAGTGGGAGAGTCATAGGGTTTATGGGGTATTCTCTTGAATTGAGAGGCACACATTGTACCTCCGTGCATTGCTTCGAATTACAGTACTCCGAAGACTTATTATGGATCGCCAATTTGATACTGTCCTAACCTGTCGACTAAAATTAGATTTTAAACGATTTTCATAAGAATTCACAGTGGTCAAACAAAATTGCAGAGAGTTCATTCCCTTGATGTAAAACGTATATAAAACGTTACAATTTAAACTGAAGAAAGTGATTCGCAATTCATAAAAATTCGGTCGCAATTCAAAAATTTCGGCTGTAGATTCCAGATCGATACAGATACAAAATGGATTCAGCTATTTCTAAATGAAATAAATGGAGTTTTACGTCCCACCACGTAGGCTAATGAAGACACCCCCCCCCCCCCCCC